AAAGTCGATATTTGACTGGAGGGTACAGAAATCCGCGGGGAGTTATGTGGGATCGCGGGCTCGCTGCCCTCCCCGCCGGACCGGGAGTTGACGTTTAACCGGAAAGAAAAAAGGGACATAAAGTAGAGAGGAGGGAGGAAAAAAAAAAAAAAAAAAAAAAGAAAGAAAAGGCCAAAGCTGGAAATCAAGTTGCAGCAGTGAACCAGCGCGTTCCCCCTCTGCCTTTGGAAGAATTTCTTGGCTTGGTGTGTGGGTGCCTGTTATTCGGGCTGCGGCAGAGGATTTGGACACTGAGTCAGACCCAGCGCTAATGAGGTTTGTGCAATTAATTCATCTGTGCTCTGTGCTGTCCAGCTCGCTCGAACTTTGCTGCGTGGATTAACTGGGGGGGTGGAATAAGGCGCGGGGCTCCTTGCGCAGGCAGGTAGGCAGGACACGGAGCGCGGGGTCAGCCCCTGCCTGCTCGTTCCCTCTGTTTTCCCCTGGTTTTGGCTGCCGGGCGCCGTCTCGTGCCTCTTGTCCGGCTGGGAAGGGCAGGGCTCCTGTCCCAGCAGGGCTTTGAGGGCTGCACGGGGCGGTTTGAGGCTCTGAAGGTATTTGGGAGCCGGGCTGGGGGTGGCGGTGGGGGTGCCAGGTGGGAAGGCAGAGCAGAGCAGAGCCCTTTGGAGACAGACAGGTTGTTGCGGGTTGCAAAGGTTGCCCACTCCGTCCTGCCTCCCTCAGCCCCCTTGCAGGGGGACAGGAGGTTGTGCCTCGGAGCTGGCACCCGGGGGAGGCTCTCGGGGGTGACACCAGGCAAGGTCAGCCGGGCTGCGGGTGCCTCCGACCCGCGGAGCCCCGGAGGTTTTTTCCCAGGATGAGTGGCTGCCTGAAACCCCCTGCGAGGCGGCAGAAAGGAGAGGGAAGTCCCTGGAAGAAAAAGCCAGGAGAGAGAGTGGGGGGTTCAGGGTCAGCTTTGCTGAACCGCAGGTGTCCCCAGGTATTTGCGAGCTGGTGGATCTGAAATGGCCAGGAAATAGGGAAATGGACAGAAGGGTTGGTGTGAGGGAGCTGGGTTAGGTGAGGGAAAAGAGGGATGAGGAGCACCTGCGGAGGGGAGGGAAAGGAAAAGTGTCTTGTGGGGCCAAAGGAGCAGAGAAAGTGCCAGGAGCAGCACGTGGAGGGAACGGGAGGGTCCTGGGGCTGTGCCGGCGTTTGGGCAGTCCTACAGGCAGGGTCCTGACCTTCCTGCCTGACCCTTGGGGTTCCCCCCTGCCCAAACCGGGGGGCAGAAGGAGGAGAGAGCACTGCAGCCACCAGCCCTTTGCCAGCACAGGGTGGTGTTGGCCACAAACCAGCTCCCAGCAGCTCCAGGTGGGTCCCAGGCTGGGTCCTGCTGTGTTTTGTCCCTCATTGGAGGATGCCAGGGACCAGGTCTGAGATCTGGAGATCAGTCTGAGAGCTGAGATCCCTTGCTGGAAACAGCAAATAGAGACACCCACATGGAGCCTTCCAACTGCTGGAGCTCTCATGGGGAAGGAGGGGAAATGGATAGGGAGAGCAAACAAACTCAAATATCAGTATGATCCCATGTTTAAGAGATGATTTGATTTGCAAGTCAAGTTTCTGACAGTGTTCTGGGGGTCTGGCTTGATAATTTCCAAGTTTTGGAGCACGGCCCTGGCAGCTCTGTGCCACCACATGTGCCAGGGAGGGAGAGAGCATGAGTTGTGTCCCTGATCCCTGCCCTGGGATAAGAACTGAGCCTGCATGAGCCGCTGTGGCTGTCGCTGTGCTGCCCGTCCTCAGCACACACGGGCACACAGATGTTCCTCCAGATGTCTTCTCCCATCCACCAGGGTCAGGCCCCTGCACAGCCCCCACACACCCCTCGGCAGGACAGGTTGTAGCCATGGAAAGGGCAATTCCCACTCCTGTGTCCCCAACCCTGCATGGAAGCTGGGACCAGGCTCCTGCCGTGGGCTCCTGGCTCATCATAACCCTCTCCTTGGTCCCTCTCCCCCCATCTGACACTCCAACCCTGTCCTCTGTCCCTTTGCACCAGTGGTTTGTTAGGAGCATTGCCTGGTTCTGCAGCTTTCCCAAAGCGAAAGTGATGTTTTCCCCTTGCAGAGGGCACTTCTGATATCGAGGAATGGCCGCTACTGTGTTTTTGCACAAACATTGCAGGCTGCATTCCTGCAGGAGTGGCAGCAGATGCTCTGTGCCACCCTTGCCCTGCCCGCTGGCACCTGCCCAGCGAAATCATTGGAGGTTGGTGGCTCACAGGGCAACAGGACTGTTCATACTGAGCAGGTTTTATGGCCTTTTATCTCAGCACTTGAAAAGAGATGACGGCAATCTGTGTGTCCAAGGCCCAGGGTGTGTCCGTCTGTTCCTTGGTGACTTTTTCTTAACTAGTGATTAGAGGAAGATGAATTAGGTCCTTGTGTGCTGTGCAATCCAGTCCCACACTCAGTCCTTTCCTCGTGGCCCTTGCCATGGAGTTTATTGGGTGCTCAGGGGATGTTTTCCCTCCAAGGGCTCAAAGGACTTCCCTACCCTTTCATCTCACCTCTAATTGGCACCTCCCCCTGTCTCCGGGGCTGGCATGGCTCGCTGGGGTGGAGCAAGGGAAAAAGGGATTTTCTTGGCTTCAAAACCCGTCTGTCTTGGTGGCAAGGGACAGGATGTTTGCCAGCAAGTGCTGCTGTGAGGACTGTCCTGAAGGAGGTCACAGGCATGTCCAGGGATGAGGATAACTGTTGGCTTCAGAGCCAGTGCTGGGGCTTGGCCAGGCGGGACCACCCAAAGCCAACCCTGCGAAGGGCCCGAGCTGGGAATGGTCAGTGTGGCAGGGAGGGAAGTAGAGGGACTGCCTTGGTCAACTGGTGCCTTTTACCTGTAAAAAATAAAGCACATTGGCCACAGAGCAGATTGGAAAAACAGCACCTTGGCTGCAGGTCCTGACTCACAGCAAAGCTTCCCTGGGTTTCCCCCCAGAGATGCTGCCCTGAGGCTTCTGCATTTCTCATGTTTCAGCCATGGGGCATTAATTGCTGTGATAAATCCCTCTGGGCACAGCTGACAGGGTGAACGAGATACCCATGTCCTGTCATTTGTTATCCACGGATCCAGTGACTGTCACGGAGGACCAAGTGAAAACCCCAAGGGAGGTGTCCCCAGGTGTCAGTGCTGTGTTGGTTGGAGCTCTGTGTCACAACAATTTCTGCAGTCAATTCATTTCCACTGGCTTCAGTGGCCAATGCAGGATGCAGAAGCCAAATGTGACCTGGTGCTGTTGAGACCAGAGTGGGTCTTTCCAGGGATTCCCGTGCACCCCAGGTCAGGTGTTAGCAACTGAGTCACCAAGTGACTGCTCTGTGTGCTGGATCTCCCTCAGGGCACTCGGACATCTTTGCTGCACACATTTTCTTTCCCTGTTTTAAGTGGGTTTTACATTGTTTTCATTTATTTCAGAGTCAGGGCTGACACAGCAAGAAGCTATAAGACAATTAATTTGCATCTTATATTTCACACTTGCATCTTCCAGAACTTTAAAGATGCTTTAAAGATGTCTTTACACAGTTTTGTTTTGTTTTGTTTTGTTTTTTCTCCTTGGCTGCTCTTACCCTGCCAGGTGCCAAAGCCACCCTCTGGCACAGCAGCAGCAGAGCCTGAGTTCCAGCTTTGTCCCTTTTGTTTACCATGTCCAAACACTGACTTCTGGATGGCTCTGAAGTCACGTGTGGGTGCAGGGAGAATGGTTCGCTCTGTTTAGGATTTGACCTCTGGATCCACACGAGGGGTCCTGCTGGCCTGGACAGCACGAAGGGGAGCTGCAAGGCTCTCGAGACCGCGGATTCTTTCAGCAACTCCACAACTCCAAGTCTGGCATTTCCCAAGGCCTCACCCTCTGTTTATTGTTGGTTTGACCATCCTGGAAACATTTAGCGTGATAGGAAATAGCTGAAGGGAGGGGTCAGTTTTGCTTCTGGGGAGAGTTGTGGACAGTCACTTTGTTTTCCATCTCTTGGCTCTCTCCAAGTAGCATTCCCTGTGTTTCAGGAGGAAGAGGATGGATGTGCTGGCAGGGATGTGTGCCCGGCTGCTCCTCCTGTCCCTGCTCTGTGCCACCGGCCTCTGCCAATGGAACAAAAGTGAGTGGAGACATGTCAGCTCTGTCTGTCATCTCCCCTTGGAGCTGCCCCACGAGGACTGTGTGCACCCTTCTTGAGCTCCAGAAATGCCAGTCCTCATGCAGAGAACACCTGTTTTGCGCTTTTCTTCGCATTTTCTATCTTCCCAGTGTTTGGGGGCCCCTCTTTTCCTACCCCACTGCTGTTTTGTAGCCAACCAACCAGGAAATACTTCCATCTCTCAGTGGGATCTGCCCTTCTTATGCCCCCCCCCACAAGCTCCCTTTGTTTTCCCCATTGCTGATGCCCTGGTTTTTCCTGGCAGATAACCGCTGTGTGCTGTCCCGGGCAAAGAGCTGCACCGAGTGCATCCGAGTGGATAAGGACTGCTCCTTCTGCACTGATGAGGTGAGACACGGCAGGGCAGCCTGGGGCTCCACTTCCCACCCTGCTGATGGAGGGATCCCACCACCTTCAGTGGGAGAGGGACGTGAGCAGGGTTAGGTTGTGGCTGCATCTTCTCTTCTGTGAGAAGCGCTGAAATGTGCGTTTCCTTTGGTAAGAACAAACGGGGAGGGAGGGGAGTCCAGGGCAAACTTGCAGGGATACAGGGGTTTATCAGAAAATGTCAGAGTGCCATAAATGGTGTGTGCAAGGGATGGAGGGAGACTCTCATCCCAGACAACCCAATAACTCACTGGTGGTCACATTTTGCTGCTGCTGGGGAACATCCCTGACTCTCTGCCCTGCTCCCGCTCCCAAAAGCTCACAACGGTCTCAGCAGAGGACCCTGCTTCCTGACCTGTGTGTTTCCCCTTGCCTGGTGGATCTGGGGCTTTCTGGGGCTCTGATGTTGGTTTTGCTCCCTTGGCAGAGCTTTGAGGAGCCGCGCTGTGACTTGCGGGAGAACCTGCAGCGTTACGGCTGCGGGGAGGGCAACATCGTGAGCACCCGGGGCGAGATGCAGACCCAGAAGGTGGGTGCTGGGGGCACAGCCCCTGCTTGGCTTCTCCTGAAGGGGTTCTTCACATCCTTCATCCCCCTCTGGAGTCTTCATCACGAAAAAAGTCTAGGTCTCTGTTTACTCAAAACAAAGCTCTGCTTTCGCTGGCTGATGGACCCATTGGGCACCAGCCCTGATTTCTCTGGGCTGGGGTGGCTTTTCAGGCAAAACAGATGTAAGCAAAATGCCAAGATATGGAGGAGGTGCCCGGCTGGACACGTGTGGACATGGGAGGCTGTTGTACAGTGCCTGAGGGAGGGGAGCAGGATCATCCCTGCCTTTGCACTTCCCACACACCTCCCTGTTCCCTGCCTCCTCCTCATTGCATCTGCACAGGAGATGGAGTCCACCTCCTTCACAACACTCATCTTCACAGAATTCCAGTATCAACACATCCCTGAAGAGGACCCAGGTGTCCCCCCAGGGCATGCACCTGCGGCTGCGAGCTGGGGAGGAGATGAGCTTCAACATGGATGTCTTCCAGCCCTTGGAGAGCCCCGTGGATCTCTACATCCTCATGGACTTCTCCTACTCTATGTCTGATGATCTGGACAACCTCAAAAGCATGGGCCAAAACCTAGGTGAGACCAGAGCTGGGAGAGGAGGGGAGCCAGCTTGATGAAGGCAGGCAGCTCGCTCCTGCCTGCGGCTGCGAGTCCTCTGCCAGCACCAGGGAGAGGGATGCAGCTGGCAGAGGGCTGAGAGGTGTCTGTTTTAATTAGAGTCTCTTATTACTGCTGCTCTGTGCAGCCCTGTGGGGGAATGCTGCTCCTGGCCTTGCAGGGATCATCACGTGTGCCCCACAGAGCTGGTCTGTGCAGGGCCTTTGGCATCTTTGAACCCCTTGGTGTTGGGGGTGCCATTGCAGAAGCTCCAGTTTTGCCAAGGGGGCTGCCAAAGGGGTGTAGGTTTCTACCCCATAAAAGACAATCCCTAAACCCAAAGATCTTAAAAGCTGACAGTTTGTGAGTCTTACCTAAGGCCTGACCAGCAGAGAAGATGCTCAGGAGAGGAGTTCTTCTACTAGAGCAGCGAGCTCATGGGCATCTCTTTATTTATGTGCCTCCTCCTCCCAGCGGAGTTCCTGCAAGAACTGACCTCCAATTACACCATTGGATTTGGCAAGTTTGTGGACAAAGTCTCTTCCCCTCAGACAGACATGAGACCTGAGAAGTGAGTGAGCCCAGTGGGTCCGTGGGGTGGGAGCAGAAGGGAGGGCAGGTGCCTTCTGTTTCTGCATGGCTTTTCTGATCTTCACTGTCTCAATGCAAGGCCCTTGTCCATCTCTCTCCCTTCACTGACTGTGTCCACCCTGGCCTCCCCATCCCTCAGGGATTGCTGTAGCACCGTGCCAATGCCTGTGCAGTGTTCTCTCCCACTTTCAGACCTTCCCTGCACCTCTTGTCCTCTCCATCTCTTCCCTCCTCCCTTCTACCTCCCAGTGCTGGTGGCTTGCCAGCTCAACTCCTATGACTTCCCCTGAGGGATTCCTCAGCCCCCACCTGCTTTCTCCACCCTTCTCCTCCTTGCACCCAGGCATCCCTTTGCTCCTGTGGTTGCCAAAACCCCGCTCCTCTCCTAGGCTGCGCGAGCCCTGGTACAACGCCGACTCCCCCTTCTCCTTCAAGAACGTCATCCGCCTGACCAGCAACATCAACCACTTCAGCCAGGAGCTCCGGAAGGAGCGCATCTCCGGGAACCTGGATGCCCCCGAGGGCGGCTTTGATGCCATCCTGCAGACAGCTGTCTGCAAGGTGAGGGTGGCCAGGCTTGCAGGAGCCGTGTGGGCTCTGTTTCTGACCAGTGGATCTCGCTGATACCGGGTGATGAGCAGAAGGGCTTCACGCTGGAGCCCAGGTTATATGTTCAGCTCCTGCCCTCCCAGCCACGTGCTCCAAATGCCAAGCTGTTTTGCACTCCCAGTTTTTCCTAAGCCTTAGAATGTGTGTTTCCTGGTGTTTGATACCCAGCACAGGAGCTGCTTGCTGGGCACTCTGTGTGTGCTCTTTGCTCCGTCCCCCTCCGTGCCTGCGGTGGTGAAACTCTGCTCCCTGGAAAACAGCCCACTTGGGCTTGGCTGCTTGGCTGAGGGATGAGCACAGCTCCAAACATGTCCAGAAAAGCGTGGGCTTGCCCCCTGTCCATACATGTGCCTGGCACTGAGCTGCTGGGTGGGAGACACCCTGTGCACTGGGGGTGCAGATGAGTGCTTGGATTGCTGGGGCCATGTAGCTGGTTGTGTTTGCTGCCAGGTGGAGGTGGTGCCTTGCCCCTTGGGAATTCCAGCTCCTGCCAGTGCTGACTGTAGGTGCTGTGCAGGAGCCTGGGGGGCACAGAGATGAAGGTTGCTTCTCCCCCTTCCTGGCTGTAGGATAAGATCGGCTGGAGGAAGGACAGCACTCACCTGCTCGTGTTCTCCACCGAATCTGCCTTTCACTATGAAGCTGATGGTACCAACGTCCTGGCAGGGATCCTGGCAAGAAACGACGAGCAGTGTCACCTGGACAGCCGTGGCACCTACGTGTATGACACCAAGCAGGACTATCCTTCAGTGCCCACCCTGGTGCGCCTGTTGGGCCAACACAACATCATCCCCATCTTTGCTGTCACCAACCACTCCTACAGCTACTACGAGGTGAGGAGACCACGGCAGTGATGCCACGTGGGCTTCCCTTTCCTCCAGCACCATTGCTCCTCTGCCTCAGCTTGGCTGTGAGGAGAAAGTGTTCTCCTATCTCTTAGCACTTAGTTCCCAAGTGCTGAACCAACACCTCGGTGCTTTGGAGGGTGCCACACTGTGTTATGGGGCTGCTCTGGGTTGTGGGATGTCTCAGGGTTTAGGAATCCGGGCTTCTAGAGCTCTCCCTGTGTTGGTTTCTGTTGCTTGTAAAGAGCACAGAGATGGAGAGTAATTTAGGTTGGAAGGAACTTTTGGAGGTCTCTGGCCCAAAGTAGAGCCCACTGCAGTGCTAGAGAAGGGTTCTCAAGGCCTTGGCTCAGGGGCTCCTGTCTCTCTGCAGAAGCTGCACAAGTATTTTCCCATCTCTGAGATTGGGGTGCTCCAGGAGGACTCTTCCAACATTGTGGAGCTGATCCGTACAGCCTTTGAGGTAATGGTTGCTCTGGCTGCAGAGAGGGCAGAGGGTGGGCACCTCCTACCCAGGAGAGCAGCAGGAGGCAGGATGTGGCCCCTCTGGAGCAGGCCACGGGGTGGTCACAGGGTGCTGCTTAAAACCAACGCTGTGTTTGTCTTCTGCCACCCAGCGCATCCGCTCCAAGATGGACATCAGGGCTGACTTCACTCCCAGGGCCATGAAGACAGAGTTCACCTCCACGATGTATGAAAAGACAGAGTCTGGCTCCTTCCTCATCACCCGTGGGGAAGTGGTAAGTCCTTGGATGGCCGTGGAGTGGGAAGGTGCGTGCGAGGGGCTGAGCCCTCCACGTCTGGCAGGGCTGTGGTCCAGGCAGAGCTGGCTCATCCCTGCCACGTGTCCCTTCCCCCAGGGCAAGTTCAAGATGCACGTGAAGGCTCTCGAGCACGTGGGTGGGCAGCACGTGTGCAGCCTCCCCGAGAAGGACCGGCAGGGAGTTATCCAAGTGAAACCCACCTCCCTGAGCGACAGCCTCACCGTCTCAGCCTCGGTCGTCTGCGACGTGTGTCCTTGTGAGCAGGTACAGGGGCAGTGCTGCAGAGAGCAGTCCTCCTCCTGGCCAGCCTGGGGTGGGAATGCGTTGGCTGGAACATGTTGGGTACCACTCGACCCCTCACTGGTGTCTGGCAGAGGCTCAGCCTGGCCCAGGATCTCCCTCACTGCCTGTACCAAGCTGGGTGTGCTGTCCCACAGCAGAGTTTGGTCTTCAAGTTAAAACTTTGCCCCTGGATCTGCCCTTCTGATTCCTGAAATGGTCCCTGGGGGCAGCTGAGCCCGTTCAGCAATGCCTCTCCTCTCTTCTCTTCCAGCAACAAGAGCTGAACTCGCCCAAGTGCAGCTTCCACGGGAACTTCGTTTGCGGGCAGTGCATCTGCCACCCGGGCTGGTAAGGACCGTGTCCAGCTCCATACCCTTCCCAGGGGTCCCGCTGGGTCTGGGGACCCACAGTGACACATGTGCTGGGCATCCTGCCCAGGACCCTGCTGTCCTCTGCTCTGCTCCTGCCTCTCTCAGCGTCATCTCCTCCCTGCCAGGCGAGGGGACACGTGCGACTGCTCCCCGGCGTCGTCCCCCAACAACGAAGCCTGCATCCGCCCCGGGGACGTGGAGCCGTGCTCGGGAAGGGGCGAGTGCCTGTGTGGGAAGTGCCAGTGCTACTCCGAGGACCTGGTGCAGCGCTTCGACGGGGCCTTCTGCGAGTTCGACGTCCTGCAGTGCCCGCGCACCTCCGGCTTCCTCTGCAACGGTGAGAGCAGCCCCCTCTGCCCCCAGCATCCCCAGCTGGGCCTGGCACCACAGACAGGGTGTCCCCGCACTGGTGGCACTGGCACAGGGTGGGGGGGTGTGAGTGACCAGCGATGGGCTGTAGGGACTCCGTGCTGGCAAACACGAGGGAGGATGCCGTGGGGTCTGCTTGCACCCCAGGGGAAGTGGGGGAGCTGTAGGCGGGGTGGTGGGGGCAGCACAGCACTGGGCACTGGGAGACTCATCCTCTTGCCCCCAGACCGTGGCCGCTGCTCCAGGGGCGCGTGTGTGTGTGAGAGCGGCTGGCAGGGCCCGGGCTGTGAGTGTCCCACCAGCAACGACACCTGCATCGACAGCAGAGGGGTAGGTCAAGCCCTGCCCGGCCCACCACAGGTCTAGGCAGGGCTGTGGCGAGTTGCCCCGATGCTGGAAGCTCTGGGCCACTGGGGCTGGCCCCTTGCTGACTCCCAGCACCCTGGGATTGCTCTCGGGTGCCATCTGACAGCTCTTCCCTCCCAGGGCATTTGCAACAACCACGGGAGGTGCGAATGCGGCAGATGCATCTGTGACATGGCCTCGCTGTACACCAGCTCCACCTGCGAAATCAGCTACTCCCTGGTGAGTCCCTGCGGGTTTGTCAGCTCTCCTTCCCACACGGAGCCTCCGGGAAGGAAGGCAATGCAGAGATGAAGGCACTTCTCAGTCAGGAGCAAAATCCTGCTTTGTAGCCAAGGGCTTTCTGCACCCTCCAGCTCACCAGCAGCAACAGCTGAGTGTCTGTCTGTGTTTACCTGCACCCTGGTGAAGGGCAGAGGTTTGAGCTTGGTTCCTGGCTTGTTCTGATTTGCCTCAAGCCTGGAAAAAAACCTTATTTCATAGAATCATAGAAAGGATTGGGTTGGAAGTGACCTTAAAGCTCCCATGGGCAGGAACACCTTCCACTAGATCAGGTTGCTCAGGCCCACATCCAACCCGGCCTTGGACACATATGGCAGTCTCGTGCCTCAGTTTCCCCATTGACAAACACCAGCTAATCCCTCTGTGGGGATGGAGAAAGCTGGCTTTGTCATATTTTGGAAAAGCCTCCCAAACCCTGGGAGAAGATCTAATTGCTGCCCAAATGCAGGCTGTTGGCATAAGAGATTTTGGAAGTGGCTGGAGTGGGCTCCTGGGCTTATAAATCCTTTTTTTTTTAAGCTGCTTGTTCTAAGTGATTCCTCTCTTTGACCTTGCCCTGGCATCGGGGTGAGGACGCAGCGCTGCCTCTCCAGCTTTGTCTTTGGGAGGCAATGCCCTCCCTTTGCCATGGGCTGTCCCCTGACTGTCCCCCCCTCTGTGCCCAGGGCTTCCAGGCTGTGTGCGAGAGCATCCGGGACTGCGTCCGCTGCCAGACCTGGGGAAAGGGCAGCTTGAAAGGGAACTGCAGCACGTGCCACCTCCAGATCCAGATGGTGGAAGAGCTGAAGAAAGGTACTGGGAGAAGGAGAGCTGGGTGCAGATGTGGGGAGTCTCCTGTGCACCCTGCCCCGTGTGTGTGTGTGTGTGCATGTAGGGCTGCTCCCCAAGTCTTTCCTGACCCTGGTGACTTTGCCACCCTGTCCCCTGTCTCCTCAGAGGAGGCTGGCGAGTACTGCTCCTTCCAGGATGAGGATGATGACTGCACCTACCACTACTCCCTGGAGGGAGACCCCAGTGTGCTCCCCAACACCACCGTCCGTGTGCAGAAGAATAAAGGTGAGCAGGAGGAGGAAGGGGGGATGTCCAGCCTGGGCTTTGGATCAGAGTGACACCTCCAATCCCTGCTTGGTCCCTTTGCTGTGCCCCTGGGCAGGGGCAGCTTCAGGCACCACCTTCCTGCATGAGAGGGGTGGGTGTCATTGGCTGCCAGGTGAACTGCAGGGAGTGGAGTGTGGCACCTTTAGAGCTCACAGCCCTTCCACTGCCAGCACGGGCAGGGGTTGATGTGAGGTGCCAGGTGCTGCACAGCCCCTTTGGGGTGGCTGGATGTGGGCACAGCTGTGATGGTTCTCCCTGAACAGCACTTCTCACTGTGAGCACCAAGAGAGGGGTTCCCAGGCTTGACTGGGCTGTTCCATCCCTCAGAGAGCTGTGGTCCAGCCTTTCCCCTCTGTCCCTGCCTCCCCACTGCCTCCCTGCACACCCCCCACAGGGGCTGATGCCCGGGAGTGACGTTGCTGTCGCTTGCAGAGTGCCCACCAAGGAGCTTCTTCTGGCTCATCCCGCTGCTCATCTTCCTCATCCTGCTCCTGGGGCTGCTGCTGCTGCTCTGCTGGAAGTTCTGTGCCTGCTGCAAGGTGAGTGCCTCAGCTGGCTGCCCCAGTCTGGGGAGAGGACCAGATAAAAGCCAAAACCATGACAAATTCCTAGAACCCATCCAGCCTCCAGCACAGCCAGATTGGCAGGAGCTGGGTCCCAGTGTTATCCAGCACCTCTGGTGTTGTTGACTTGAGTTGCTCTGGGATTTTTGGCTAAAATCCACTTCCAGAGCCCCATCCACCCACTGCCTACCCACCCCTGCTGATGTGAATCCTCTCAACTGGAAACGGGGGTGGAGGGGGTGCTTTGCCCTTGGCCACAAAGTGATTGTGTTTGGCCATTTGTTTTCTAGGCTTGCCTGGCCCTGCTTCCCTGCTGTGCACGAGGTACCTGCCCTGTGACCTGGGGGAGAGAGAGGGATCTGTGGGGTTCACTGCCTTCCTGGGTTTGGAGGGGGGGTGGGATAAGCATCCCTCCTCCTCCTCTCTGAGCTGGGGAGGTGGATCAGGGAGAAACCTCCTAGCAGAGAGCCTGAGCCAAGGAGCCCTGGAGCTTCTGCTCTACTTTCCCTCCCTTCCCCACACCCTGGGGTGCCCTGCTGGGAATCCCACTGCTGGCTCTCCGTGACCAGCATCCCTTGTAATGCCCAGCTGGTGAGGTGTGTTCTCCCCACTCATGGACACCCCTTGCCCTCTCCACCCCACTCCCCTCCTGACATCCCAATACTCTTGTCACGGTGGAAGCCTTAAAGGTTCCCCAGAGCAAAGTCTCTGGTGTTGGGATGTCGATGGCTGGCCTTGTCCCAGCGTGCCCAGGCTCTGACCCTGCCCCTGGCCCTGCAGGTCGCACCGTTGGCTTCAAGGAGGACCACTACATGCTTCGGCACAGCCTCATGTCCTCTGACCACCTGGACACGCCCCTGGTGCGCAGTGGGTCCCTCAAGGGGCGGGACACGGTCCGATGGAAGATCCACAACAATGTGCACAAGCAGGGCTTTGCCTCCCCCGCTGCCACCAACCCCAAGGACCTCAGTGAGTGCCACGTCTGAGGGACAGGGGAGATGCCACGGGTGCCCTAAAGGACCTGAACCCTTGGTGGTGACCCCCCAGCTCCAGCAGCCAGAGTGTTACCTCCAAGCCCAATTTCAAGGGGGGGTTGTTTCTTTACCTGCTTCCATCCTGGAGGAAGCTGAGCAGCAGAGCCTGGTGTCCAGCCCTGTAGCAGGACCCTTGGAGATCTCCTGACAGTCTGGTTGCGTGGTAGATGAATGCTGCATGTGTCTTAGTCTCATGAACTCAGGGACCCAGCCTTGTTTTCACTGCCTCATCAGTCCAGAGCCACCACTGGGCACTGTTTCCTTTGCTGGATCTGGCAGAGAACTTCCCAGTTATCCCTCCAGTTCTCAGAGGGTTTTCTCTGCTGGGCCAATGGGGTTTGGGTGCTGGTGACACAGCCTGGACACCGAGCATCGTGTGTGTCCCTGTGCTTCCAGCTTTTGGGCGGGTCATTTCTCTGACTGAGGAGGCAGGAGTGGGAATTTCTGATTCGGGAATTTCTCGTTCCAGTTCCCTATGGGCTGTCTCTGAGGCTGGCAAGGCTTTTCACGCAGAACCTGACGAAGCCGGACACGCGGGAGTGCGAGCAGCTGCGCAAGGAAGTGGAGGAGAATGTACGAGCCCGGGCACGAGGGGGGCTTGGGATGGCACAGGGGGACAACCACACCGAGGGGGTGCCTGTGACGCTGGGAAGGGCAGGTGCCCCTTCCCTGTGAACCCAGACAGCTCTTGAAAGGAAGGAGAAGTTTTACCTCTCTCTGAGAGAAAGCACAGATTTTAAATCTCACGCAATGACGAGGTTTGAGGTTTGCTTTGGGCTGTGCTGTCTGAAGCTGCTGTTTGGAGTCGGTTTGCTGCCTCTTGCCATGTCCTGGGGAGAAACCGTGTGGTGGTCTCTGCCTGGTGTGGGAGGGTGAGGGGGGAGGACCTGGGGTGGCCAAAGGGCTCTCGTGTCTGCTGGCAGCAGTGTCTGCTCGCTGAGCACACCCCTGTTCAGCAAGGGATATATTGTGACAGTCCCTGTTGCTCCTTGCAGCTGAACGATGTTTTCAAGCACATCCCTGGCTGCCACAAGCTCCAGCAGACCAAGTTCAGGTGAGTCAGTGGGGAAGAGACCTCCTGCAGGGCGGGGTTCCCCCAGGGCCCTGCTGAGGATGGAGTGTGAAATCTGGGATGTTGGGAAGGAGCATGGTCTGTGAGACATCACTGGCACAAGCCTGGAGTGCTGCTTCACCCGCCCAGGGCTGCAGAGCAGAGCCCACCCAGCTGTGCAGGAGATCTCAGACCAGCAGGAACAAATCCTGATCGCATGGTGCTTAATGGGAAAATTCCCACTGGCTTCAAAAGTTTCAGCCTGGTGCAAAGCTAGGAGCGCAGGTCGGGAGGAGTTTGGGGATGCCACTGCTGAGCAGGGAGTGGTATCCCCTCCCCATGGCCTGATAAAGATGTGATCCCCCCTGCAGGCATGTTTCTCACTGAATTGGGAAACCCAGGGTGGGAGAGAGCAGCCACGCAGGCAGGAGAGAACGTGCTGGGGCCATGGGCTCTGTGGGATGGGTTGGCACCCGCAGGGCAGTGCTGCAGCTCAGACCTGCCCAGGGCAGTGATTCACACAGCACTTTGTCTCTCCAGATGTGTTAGTCACTCTGATTTGGGTTTTTTTTTATTCCCCCAGGTTACAGCCTAATTCTGGGAAAAGGTAAGAGCAACTCGCAGCCCTCTCTGGTGCAGCTTCTCCCTCTTTGTGCACACATGTGCGGGGTGGATGAATGTCCCACACCCTCACTGGCCCCAGAGCCGTGGTGTGAGATGAGCAACTCTGGTCTCAGCTCTTTCCTGCCTTTCTCTTCCCCCCTCCCAGGCAGGATCACGCCATTGTGGACACAGTGCTCACTGCTCCTCGCTCAGCCAAGCCAGACATCATCAAAGCGGTGGAAAAACACGTGTCCCACGAGGCTTTCAACGAGCTGAAGGTTGCGCCGGGTTATTACACCGTGACCTCAGACCAAGGTGGGGAGCAGAGCCCAGCGCTGCCTCCTGGCTGGGCACGGGGGGGCATTTCCCACCTCTAACCCTTGCCCTTCCCCCAGATGCTCAGGGGCTGGTGGAGTTCCAGGAGGCCGTGGAGCTGGTGGATGTCCGTGTCCCGCTCTTCATCAGGGAGGAGGATGATGATGAGAAGCAGCTGCAGGTGGAGGCCATCGAGGTCCCCAACGGCATCGCGAAGATTGGGCGCAGGGTTGTCAACATCACCATCATCAAAGAACAAGGTGAGGGGCTGCGCCCGTGGTGCAGGGAGGGTGTCTGTGTTTGGGTGTCCTGTGTCTGTCCAGGTGGGCTGATGTGGTTTGTAAGGAAGGCACAGTCTGTGTACTGGAGCACGCCCAGGTCACAGAGCAGAGACTTGCTTGGTGACTCCTCTCTGAAGTCACCTGGGTCTCAATGGAGCATCTTATAACACATCCAAAGGAGAGTCGTCATTCCTGCTGCCAGAGACCCAATTATGTGACCATTACAGGTTTAGGTGCTACAGATTCCATGACAGATCCAGGGCTGATCATGTGCCTCTGCTGCTCCAGTTCATAGGCTGCTGGAGTGAAGCAGAACCTCTTTGCTGTGCTTGGGGCAGGTGAATGTCCCCAGCACTTTGTCTCTGCTTCCTGCCTGGCTGTTTTGAGTAGAGAGAACAAACTGGGAGTGGTGAAATCTTCAGTAATACTTCATGCACAGTTCACACCTGTGGGTGATGGGAACTGTTCATGGAGGACACCTGAGTGTTTGTAGTGTGATTCTTCTTTTACTTTCTTCACACATTCCTTCCCTCTTTCTTCTTCCAGCCAGCAGCCTCATCACCTTCTTGCAGCCAGCCTATTCCCACAGCCGCTTTGACAAGCTGGCCAAGATCCCCGTCCTGCGGGAGATCATCGACAACGGGAAATCCCAGGTCACCTACAGGACCCGGGACCTCACCGCCAAGAACGGCAGGGTAAGGGCAGCACTCCTGGCCTTGGCAGGCAGGAAGGAGAGGGAATGGAGGGCTGGGGAAGAGCCAGCCCAGGGTTGCAGAAGAGCTGTTGATCAGCCTCGAAGGGGATGTGGCTGGAAGGGGGGACCCGAGGGTTGAGGTTAGCACAGGGTAGACATTCCTCCCCATCCCTTGCTCCCCGTGCCTCAGGGATCTGAAAGGATACCTGTGCCTGAGGCAGAAGGTACCAGCTGCCCTGGAGCTGTGGGCAGTGTGGGGCAAATGGGGATTGACTGGGAGATGAGGGGAAACTCCCTGGGAGCCTCCTCATGGGTGCTGTAGGTTGTAATCACAGAAGTATAGAATGGTTTGGGTTGGAAGGGACTTTAAAGATCATTGTTCCAACCCCCCTGCCATGGCAGGGACACCTTCCACTAGACCAGGCTGCTCAGAGCCCCATCCAGCCTGGCCTTGAACATAGCTCTTCCTTCTCCTCCAGGACTATCTCTTCACAGAGGGCGAACTGGTCTTCCAACCTGGGGAGACCCGAAAGGAGGTGCAGGTGCCCTTGCTGGAGCTGACTGAAATAGATACCCTCCTGAACAACTTCCAGCTCAAGCAATTTGCCATCGACCTCCTCCACCCCAAGTACGGCGCCAAGATCGGCCGATACGGCCAGACCACGGTGACCATCGCCGACCCAGGTAGGGACCCCCACGCCAGCCCAGCCCATCCCGAGGGTGCTGGTACAGAGCTCCAGCGCTGCTCCTCGCCCGAAAAGCGGCAGCGAGGAGGTTCCTCCCCGCTCCGAGCGGTAGAATTGGGCCTCCCTCTAGAGGCGCGAGGGGGAACAGACAGTGGGTGGGAAGAAGAGGGCTATAATGTACCTCGCAGAAGGAAATAGAGCCGATTCTTTATTCCTTTTCCTTGGGAATTTGAATGAAAAGCTATAAAAATAATGGAGAGGTGGGGCTTGCCACTTGCCCCTCGGCTGGACAATGAAAAGTGTAAGGGATCTCATCAAGTGGATCAAAACAGTAAATAACATTTGTCACAGCCTGGCAGGGCAGTGCTGGGGAGATGCACACTTTCTTGTTTTTCTCCCGAGGTGGGGACTGACACTGATGTGGTCTTTCTTCCTCGTGTCTGCAGAGCTGGTGGATGGTGTCCCCTCGATGACTGGCCTGGGCCAGGTCCCCCAGTCCCCCAAAGGCCGCCTGAGTGCACCACTTAATCCCAGTGCCCGCGCCCTCAGCTCCAGGGAAATCAGCTTCAACTGGTTTCCTCCACCGGGAAAACCTCTGGGGTACAAGGTGAGGGCTGAGTGGATCCCAGGGAAGAGTGTGGGTCCCATCCTGCAGGTGTTTCTCACAGTCATTTGTACTGAAGGAATCCAAGAGGACACCCAAAAGAGGGAGCAAGTTCACTCCTTCTGGTCCCCTCCATCCTTGAGGGACCATTGCTGGGTGGATGTGGGATTTGCAGGAAAGATTCCTGGTGGTCTCACCTTTCTTTCCATCACTTCCCATGAAATGCCCGGATTGTCGTGACCTCCCGTTTTTCAGAGGAATGGCACAACACCCTTCCCAGAGCAGATTTAGTAAGAGATGGGGAACTTCTCACCCATTATGTGAGGATCTGAAGGAATCCCAGCTTGCTCTTGCTTTGCCAGGTGAAATACTGGATCCAAGGGGACCCTGAGTCAGAAGCCCATCTCATCGACGTCAAAACACCACCAGCAGAGCTGAGTAACCTCTACCCCTTCTGTGACTATGAAATGCAAGTCTGTGCCTACAACGCCCTGGGTGAGGGGGCTTACTCTGACATCATCCACTGCCGCACACTGGAGGAGGGTGAGCCACTCTACATCCTTCTTCCCACCATGTAGGGAGCAAGTCTGTGCCTGTGCACCCGACACGGGGTCAGGACTCCAGCCCTGAGCTTCTGATGGTCAGGGGTCAAGCACTGAGCATCTCCCACTGCAACCCAGCTGTGATCTGGGGAACTCTGGGCATCTGCTGGCGCTTGACCTGAGGTAACGTGGACCCTTTTCTCTTGCCTTTCCAGTGCCCAGCGAGCCTGGTCGCTTGGCTTTCAACGTCGTGTCTTCCACTGTGACACAGCTGAGCTGGGCTGAGCCTGCAGAAACCAACGGGGACATCACGGCTTATGAAGTCAGTTATGGACTCGTCAACGAGGACAACAGTAAGAGCTCATTTCTGGATGGGTCAGTCCAGCCAGGCTGAGGGGTCAGAGCACACTTTCCACAGGCCGTGCTGGTCCCAAGCAGCAGCAGAACCAGAACAGTTCCAAGCATGTTTCTTGTGAGAACTGGGATTTGGAGGGGTCACTTCTTGATGGAAGGAGTGCAGAAAAATCACCAGTCAGGATTTAATCCTGCAAATCCCAGAACAGTCTCGGCTCCCATCCGCTTCCATGGTGTTTAACGTTATTTTTCATCTCAAAAACTTAGTTTTCTAGACCTAGGGATAGGGTGCCAGGAAGGTGCTATTTGTGACACACCAGCAACAGGAGACCTGTGGTGTAGGTTGACTTCAGCATCCAGTTTGGGAATTCCCCCAGGACGATGTCATGCCTGTTGTGAGCAGCCCATAGAGCTGCTGCACCTTATCCCAGAGCCGGGCTGTGTCCTGACACCAAACCTCAGCCAGCCAAGGGTGGGGTGCTGTGGGGCCCTCGGTGTCCTGTGGGTGACAGGTGCCTGTGTTTGCAGTCCCCGTGGGCCCCGTGAAGAAGGTGCTGGTTGAGGACCCGAAGAAGCGCATGGTGCTGATTGAAAACCTGCGGGAGTCGCAGCCCTATCGCTACACGGTGAAGGCCAGGAACGCTGCTGGCTGGGGGCCTGAGAGAGAAGCCACCATCAACCTCGCCACGCAGCCCAAGCGCCCCATGTCCAGTGAGTCCCTGCCTGGGTGGGCAGCAGGGGGACAGGAGCAGTGCTGGGGTGTCCTCCCCATCACCCCCAGCTGCCTCCCCAGCCCAAACGTGCCCTGATGTTTGCTCTGCTGCACCAGCCACCCTGGGGAACGCTGAGGCCCGGCCTGAGCGTGGGAGAGGTGGCTCTTTGCCGCTTGTCTGACAGCACTTTTCCACCTGTCCTGCAGTCCCCATCATCCCTGATGTCCCCATCGTGGATGCAGAGGGAGGTGAGGACTACGACAGCTACCTGATGTACAGCGCGGATGTGCTGCGCTCCCCGGCCGGCAGCAAGCGCCCCAGCGTCTCCGATGATTCAGGTGCGTTGCTCTGAGTTCTGCAAAGGTCATTTTTAACATTCCTTTTCCTCAGCAACAGCTTTGCTGCACTGCTCCTTTCCTCCTCTCGGAGATGGGGAGGTCCGAGTTGTGGAGATAAACCTTTCCAAAGCCCGGTAGCTGCATCCATGGGAACACCTGACTGGTCACAGCCTAAATAAGACCAGTGCCTCCTTGTCTCAGCCATGAGGCAAAGAAAAATCTCAGTGTGGGGCGGGAGAGGAGCTTTCCACGGCCCTCCCTGCTCACCTTCCCTTCCTGTTGCCATTGGGCTGGATCATGAGTTGGTGTCAGCAGACAAGCACTGGCAAGGCACAGACCTCTGAGTTCCTTGGATGCTCGGGGTCTTGGCCAAGCCAACAGGAGGTTGCTCAGCAGTGCTGGGAAGGCACTGGCCTCTCTTCCTCCATCACTTCGCTCTCTGAATGAGTCTGACTCCCTGCTTTTGTACTGGGACAAGGAGAGGAAGATGGGCCATAAGGGAGAAGATGAGGCTTGTCGGTAGGATTTTCTCTGGGGTCTTCTCTGGGAGAGTTCTCAGGGCCTGGGACCCAAGAGCGAGTCCCTGGTCCCCTCAGAGAGCCAGGTGGTGGAAACATCAAGAGTTGGACCATCCCGAGGGCACATCAAGGAGTGACAAAACCTCTCCTGAGCAGAGGACAATTGTTGCAGACTCTTCGTGACAGGGACAGGCCTGTGGTGGGACTTTGACTCTCACCTTTTGTCACGATGGACACAGGGCTGGAGAACAGCCTGGGGGTTGAGGAGCCCCCTGCCTGTCACGCTCCCACCACTCTCCACCCACCAGTCCCACGATGGTTGCGCCGCCTGAACTCATCATCCAACTCGTGGCGGGATGGGCTGTGAATGAACGCTGTTCCCACTGGTTCCTGCCCCTTCCCCTCCCCAGCAAGCAGCACAGAGGTGGTGGGCAGCCCACCCTGCCCCCCTGCAGGTCATGCCAACACCAGTGCTTGCGTTGTCCCAAAAGGCTCCAGGTGGAAATATGTGCCGCTGCTGGGAGAAGACCTGGACCTTCGCCGCATCACCTGGAGGCTCCCACCCGAAACCATTCCCCGCCTCTCTGGCAGCAGCCGCCTCTCCTCGGACGCCGAGGGTCTCCTCCCCGAGGAGGACAGCGACGTGGCCACGGGCAGTGCGAGGAGGAGCGGGACGCCCCGGCCCCAAGCAGGTGAAGGACGGCTTCGTTGTGGCACCGAGTGCCTCGTCCTGCTCTGAGCCGAGGGGCCAGTGGATGGGATCTGCCCCAGTCTGTGCCCCCACCCTCCCCCTGTGTGCCCATCCTCGTGTTGGTGTGATGCACTGTTGTGGTCTGCTCTGCTTCAAAACCTTGTCCTGGTGTGTCTGCTCACAAGAGTGTCAAGGTAACCCCCATCTCGGCATGGACTTGGGAGCCTGCTAGCAAGTTGCTTCTACAAAAGGCTGGACCTTCAAGGCAGGAGCAGACTCAGATGATGGCAGTGCCACTTCCAAAGGCAGCTCTTCACCTTAATTAAGTGCCCTGAGCTTCTGGGGCAGATGTGCTGGACTGTTAAACAGAAATCACTCTCTCGTGGGTAGCTGATCTCTCCTGCCCCCCTGGGAGGGGACAGGGATTTGTCGAGGACCAGAACGATGGAGTGGAGTTTGCTTTTCAGATCTAGCCGAGATCCAGAACAAGATTTGGAGAAACCACCTCCATAAAGGGCCATTTTCCTTCTTCAGCCTCCTTTTTAAATCTGAAATTACCAATCTGTGCTTGCGTCTAAGGGGACACGTGAGAGAACGTGGCGACAACCACAAGGCAGAGCCCCAGCAAGGCCGAGGTCTGGCGTTACCTTGGGCACCAGGGGTGTGTCTGGTGCTGGGTGTTTTTGTTTACCCCTTTGTTTCTGCCTCGTCACGTGGGGTGGCTGTGGCTGGTTCCAGATGCAACACCCCAGAACAACCTCCCAGCGTGGCTGAAGCTGGAACACAGCCGAGGCAGGGGGCACCCTGATGATGCCTCCTGCTTCCTCCCCGTGGAAACTGGAGCAGCGTCCCTGCCCACAGCCACGTCCCTCATGGTGTGCCTTCTCCCACAGAGCACTTGCTGAACGGCCGTGTGGACTTCTCCTTCCCCGGCAGCGCCAGTGGCTCGCTGACCAGGACAACCAACACCAGCTACCACCAGCTGAGCTCCCACGTGCACCAGGAGCACAGGGTGATGGGGAGCTCCTCGCTAACGAGAGACTACTCCACGGTGCAGATGGGGCATGGTGAGTACTGAGGCCATGAGATCCAATCCTTTCCTTCCACCCCCATGACTGTCTTTGGATCCGTGCCCTAAAGCCCTTTTAGGGTGAGGGTTGTGTTCACAGCTAAGGGGGCCTGTGAACCAGAGGTCAGGAAGGTCATGTCCTCACCACTGATGTCTTGGTGCTTTGCTAAGGCCCCTCTGCTCCTTGGCCAGTTTGGAAAGGGTTCCCATCCCTAACGTGCTGAGTGCTCAGGAAAAGGAGCTCCATCCTTATCCTCACACCACAAAGCAGTCCAGGAAGAGCTCGTGTCTCTTCTTCTCACTCTGTCTGGCAGTGTGGTTGCCTTTCAGCTCCACGCCTGTGTGTCAGCTGTGCTGAGAGAAGGTTGTTAAAAGACTCTTCAAACCTGAGCTTTAAAAAGTCATCTGTGCAGGAAGCAGCACCTGGGCTGAACCCGCTCTGAAGTGTTTCCAATGGTGTTTTTCTCTTTCTTCTTGCACTGCTTCTGTAGATTACCCAGGGACACTCCTCCCTCCCATCCGTGAAGATGCTGGGAGGACAATCCCACGGCCCCGGGATGTGGGTTTCAGGAGCAGGGCAAAGGTGAAGGGTTACTACCCCAGCATTGGCTGTCGGGACTCTATAATCATGACTGATGGGTCCACAGGGATTTGCAAGTACATAGGTACAGCTTGTCCAGTGTCTCCTCCCAGCCACACATCCCATAACAGCCAAGCCACTGTCCGTCCATGAGCTGTTGCCATCCACTGCTCACCCCAGACCTCCTCTCCATGGCTTGCCATGTGCTGTGATCCTCCTCCTGACCCAGCCTGTGCCTCCATCACACCACCTTTCCATTTGCAGGTGACTTCCACTGTGTTTCAACCCACCTGGACTGATTAACACTCATCACCGCTGCTGCCACCGTGCTCTGATCAACTCGTTGTCCCCATCCTCTTCGTTCCTAACGAGTTTGTTGTTCCCAGTCTTACTCCACAGGCCTTGGGAGAACTCCTGGGGAGAACGTGTGCTCCATATGAGATGTGCCTCTGCAAGCTTCTTGGCCACAGTCCCTGTCAGTGAGGGTTTTCAGTCCCTGGGTGTCACCTGGGAGGCTGCTGGGCTTGCCATGAGCCTTGTGTCCCAGTGGGGTGAGCTGAGGAGGAGCCAGAGCACCCAGTCCTGGTCCCAGCTGCCCCTGTCCCCCTGAACAGACCCTGGAGGTGTTGGGCTGCTCTGTCAATAGAATAGGGCCAGTCTTAGCTGACCTACACCTGAAGAAGTCTGTGGAAGCTGCTGGCAGGCTGGACAGGGTGCTTTGGGGTGGGTGAGGAGGGTCAGACACAGCACCCAGGCCCCCGCTCTGGTCTCTCTACCACAGGGGCCTGAAGCTTACCTTGACTTGTCCCACCCAAGGTTGGCACCCCAAGGCCACGGGGCATCCCTGTAGATGTGCAGAGCCAGCCAGTCCCCCCTCACAACGGCTCAGCTTGCAGAGACAACATCTCACCACGTTCTCCCCGAACCATCAGGACCACCCCTTGCTTGCGTGTGCCGCTCCCTCCTCTCCCCCAGCCCTCTTAGCCCCCGTTCCCCAAACCTCCACCCTGATGTTCCCTTCTTGTCTCAGACTCCAGGAAGCCTCTGGGCATCCCTGACACCCCCACACGCCTGGTGTTCTCTGCCCTGGGACCCACCTCCCTGAAGGTGAGCTGGCAGGAGCCGCGCTGCGAGAAGGAGGTGCAGGGCTACAGTGTGCAGTACCAGCTCCTCAGCGGAGGTCAGTGAGCAGGAGCCTGCTGGTGGGGGCAGTTTTGAGTGGTGGAGGGTCTGGTCAGGGTCTTCTCCTGGACAACTGGCTCTGGGTGACCCTGCTCTGAGTAGGGTGGGGTTGGACCAAATGACCTCTCCAGAGGTGCCTTCCAATCTCAGCCATTCTGGGATTCAGGGATTGGTCCCAAATCTGCTTTTTTGGTAGCCTTTTTTTTGCACAGGAAATGTTTCAGCTGCCCCACAGCTCTCATTCCCCATTTCTACCGTGGGGGGAACAATTTCTGGGGTCGCTCCAACCCTCCTCCAAAAAAACCTTTGACTCATTCTCCACCAGCCCAAACATTTATTGATGTTTTTTTCAACACATGGAACTTGAAGAAAGGATTGAAAATATCTTTACATGAATCTTGGGGCAGTATCAGTGCAAATGTAATTCTTTTTGTCTGAAAACCCTTGAGTTTTCAAGAAGCTGTTGTTTATCCTAAGCCTTTTTTTGAAAAAAACCTCTCGTCCTGCACTACCTGTTGCTGGTGGCAAGGTGTGATGGAGGTGGTCAGGGAGGGGCCCTGGATAGCTTTTCCAGGTAGTTTGTTTGAGATGGAGTTTAGGCAAAAGCCATGGCTCTGTGTTGACATCCCCTTCCCTGTGCATCCCAGGAGAGGTGAACAGAATCACCATCCCCAACCCCAGCCAGAACTCGGTGGTGGTAGAGGACCTGCTGCCCAACCACTCCTACATCTTCAAGGTGAAGGCACAGAGTGAGGAAGGCTGGGGCCCCGAGAGGGAAGGAGTCATCACCATCGAGTCCCAGGTGGACCCGCAGAGCCCGCTCAGTCCTGTACCAGGTGAGGCAGATGTGGACAGAAGGGTGGCACTGATGTCTCTGCTGCTGTCTGCAGTGCTGGCCTGTTTCCTCTCCCCTCACCACATCCTGAGCTCTCCTTTCCTTTCTCTCAGTTAGGAACTGGACCTCCTTTCCCATGCTCTTGCTTCCCACTAGCTGTGTAGATAGAATCACACAACCACAGAAATCATTCAGGTTGGGAAACACTTCTAAGGACACAAAGTCCAACCTGTGACCGATCACTGCCTTGTCAACCAGACCAGAGCACTGAGTGCCACATCCAGTCATTTCTTAAACACTTCCAGCAGTGGTGATTCCACCACCTCCCTGGGCAATACATTCCAAAGTCCTTTCTGTGAAGAAATTCCTCCTGATGCCCACCCTGAACCTTCCCTTGTGCAGTTTGTGGCTATGTTCTCTTGTCCTGTTTCTAGTTGCCTGGGAGATAGCTGAGACCTTCCAGCTCACCCCGTAAGTGCTGAGTGCAGATCCCTCCCTCACCCCCTCTGTAATGTGACCTGTCCCTCATGCCCTTGCAGGTACACCCTTCACCCTGAGCACCCCCTGTGCTCCTGGACCACTGGTTTTCACAGCCCTCAGCCCAGACTCCCTTCACCTCAGCTGGGAGAGACCCCGCGAGCCCAACGGGCCCATCCTGGGCTACAGGATCACCTGTGAGATGCTGCATGGAGGAGGTAAGGGGCCAGGCTGAGGAACTCCAGTTCCACGGGTAGAGCCCAAGATACCTCCAGCGGAAGCTGCAACTTGCTGCATTTTTGCTAGGACCAGTGGCAAAGTTGTCTGCCTACATCAGTGCGGGCAAACTGGGGACATGAGGCTGATGCCAGGCCTGGGAGCTGCTGGTTCCTGATGCTCTGTGTCATTGCATGGTCTGGTGTAACAAATGTGGTGGAAAGTGGAAGGACCTGTTGCTTATTGCAGCCCAAACCCAGTGGAGGTTGGTTGCTGAGGTTCCCCACTGTAGTAAAACAGGGTTGTCTTAACTCTTGGTAGAACTGGTGTGATCCTACAGTCTGTGGGTGGCAGCTCAGGGAAAGCCAAGGCAGCACTCAGAGTTGGGGGGAGTGTGTTTGGAGGGACCTTCACTCTTGTCTGTCTTCACCTCTGTCTGTGTGGATTAGGGGAGCCCAGGACAATCTATGTCGAAGGAGACAATCTGGAAACCACCCTGACTGTGCCCCACCTGAGTGAGAATGTCCCATACAAGTTCAAAGTGCAAGCCAACACCACCCAAGGCTTTGGGCCAGAGAGAGAAGGCCTCATCACCATTGAATCTCAGAACAGAGGTACAGTACCACGTCTCTGTGGAGGTGCAAAGATAAGAAACCTCTCAGAGGAGGGAACACAATTCCTGGAGCTCCTTTTCAGCTCCTCCTGAGCTGACTCCTGGTGTATGTGAACTGTGCAGGGTTGAGGGGTTGAAAGCTCCTTGTTGTTTCCTGGCTGGCTCAAGCCTTTTCCTTCTCCCAGGTGCTTTCTCCCAGTTTGGAGGACAGCAGTACATGAGGGAAGAAGTGTACAAATTCCCCACCGAATACACCACCAAAACCAGCATCAGCCATTCCTCTCTGGATCCCCACTTCACAGGTAGGGGCTCACTGCTGCTTTGAAATCCCACAGAAAACAAAGGATAATTCTGCTTGTCCAAACTTCTGAGGGGGTGCTTTTACCTCAAGTGCCAAAGGCAGGGAAGGAGGGTCCATCAGGTGGGATTGCTGAAGATCTTACACCTCTTACTTTCTTACATTGTGTTCCTGCTCTGCCCCAGAGACAGTTGAATTGTTTCCACACGTGCTGCCCAGTCACAGGGGGAAAGCTGAGTTCCCAAGTCCTTCAGCCCTGTCACTAGAGACCAAATCATAGCTGTTCCTGCAAGGTTTGATCTCTTTAGAGCAGTAAAAAACAGAGCAGTGTGACAAACATCTTTAATCACATCAGTGTAGTTTCCTGTGTTGTCCCACTTAAACTCCTGGGCAGAGTCTGGCAGGTGATTAAGAGATCTATCTGACTGACTGACAAGGCAAGGTACTGAATCACTGGACCTGGAGGGGTTTTCCATCCGTGAAATTGGTATTTAAGGGCAAACTCCTGCCTGGGATCAGCAGGCAGAGCAGTTCCCTGTCCCTGTGACCCCGCACTGAGCGCGCTGTCCTTGCAGACGGGATGCTCGTGACGAGCCAGCGAGTGGAGAACACGAGCAGCACCCTCACCCAGGAGTTCGTGAGCCGGACCGTGATGTCCAGTGGGACCCTCACCAAGCAGGTGGAGAGGCAGTTCTACGAGGCCTGAGCCGGGGCAGGCTGAGCACCAGCGGGACATTTGGGATCAGACGGCAGAACTTTGTGGAACGACCCAAGGGCGCTTCATCCAGACGCTGCTGCGGTGCCTGCGCAGCTCCTGCTGTGGGTACAGACCCTCCCTGCCACTCCATGCTCTGGACTTCTCCTTTGGAGCCCAGTACAACCAGAACTCTGGCATAGCTGGGTCATCAGGCGTGTGATGATCAAGCTCATCCTTCATTTGGGTGTCTCCACGGCTCCAGCCTCCCGGGTAAATGGAGCAGAACGCTTTATTCTCAGGTCCTCGGTTTTGAGAGGATCTCAACTGGGAAAATCCTGATTTTATAGAGGGTCACACTTTGCATCTTTGCTCCAGGCTCTCTGGCAACTCACCTGCCCACTGGAGAGGGTTGTTTGTTCTGTTTGGGGTTTTTTTATGAGAGCTGCAAGGTAGGGTTTTGGGGTAACCTGTGCTTTCTTACTGCACCTACTTGTGTCTGTCCTTCACTGCTGACATTTGGTACCATTAGAGCAAAGAATAACCTTTTGTTTGGGTAGTGTTACTTTTTGATGGCCTCTGAAGCCTTTTTTTTTTTTTTTTTTTGCATACAATATTGTACAGTTTTCATAGTATATATAAATATATAAAAATGTATTTTATTATTTTATACAAAAAATGGAGGTGGATGAGATCTATGCTGAATGTAGAGACTACGCTGGGACTGTGGCTGCTGAGAAACATGAATAACTGGAAGAAGAAATAGTTAAGGGCTTGATCCAAAAGCCACTTGAACCCTGTGACGAGCCTGTTGATGAGCTGGTGGGCTCTGCCTTGGACTTTACATCCTCCAGCACCAGAGACTCCTGCAGAAGGGTGCAAGTGGCCAAACCTGCTCGCTGCAGGGCATCCACCAGCCAATGCTCTCCAGCCATGGCACATGGGCACAGAAGGGGCCCAGAGGTGAGGGATGGGGATGGCCCCAGTGGTGGAGATGGGAACAGTGCTGAGATTTCTTGCATGGTTGATGTGGACAGTGTGAGACTTCAGGGCAGATGATGCTGGGTATCTTTTAAAAGATTTCTTGTCCAGCAGCAACATCCATAAAGGGACCTGTGATCCACCAGTAAGCACAAGGGGAAGAGCAAACCTGGGAACAGGAGGTGCTCCCTTCATCCTGAGACTCCTTCAGTCCCAGCTTCAGCTCTCCTTGCACAGTGCTGGGCTGAGCTGAGACCTTGCTGGGCTTCATTTGCTGGCTCTGGGCACACTGCCCAGCATCTCCCTGCCCTCTGCCAGTGAGAACAATTGAGCAGCACATTTCCCTGCCGTGTTTCAGCCGCACGGGAGCAGGCGAGGAGAGCCAGGAGCCTGCCTGGAGCAGCAGCTGCCACTGCCCTGGGCTAGAGCTTCCAACCAAAACAGCAGCTGCCTGCTCACCCTGGCAGCATCACTGGCCTGGTTTCATCTGACAGTGGACCTTGGCTTTCCTTTGTTTTTCTTCTTCTTCTTTTTTTTTTTTCTTCTTTTGTTGTTTTTAGAGTTTTTTTGGTTTCTTTTTTCATTTGGAGTCTGAAGAACTCATCACCGAGCGTCCCCTCTGCTCTCCAGGCTTTTCATTTCCCTGGGAAGGGTTGTACACCTTTAAGCCAAAGATGCACGTGGGTGAGTAAAAGTCCACAGGAGTCTCCAGGATTGCAGCCAGAGCTGGGTCAGTTTTGAATGTGGCTCAAGAGATCCTTCACCAACCCTGTGCTTTTACTGTGCCTTCAAGAAGCACTTATTTCTCCTGACCAAGAGCCAGTGGCATTAACCTGCCTGTTTGCCTGTTCCCATCTCCCCTCTGTGGTTGGGGTTTCCTCTCCAGCTGACACATCCCCTCCTGCACAAGCACTCTGTGCCCCTTTTCCCCTGTGCTTTTTGGTTCAGGGTAAAACACTGGAAACTGCCTAAAATGGGAGCCCCACTTCCAAGCATTTTAACCAAAGATTATCCCCTTATCCAAGAGCAGAGCCTGGCCATCAGCTGCTCTCCAGGGAATCATGCCCTCCCCATGCACACCATGGCTTGTGCACTAACCCATGGCTGTCTTTTTAAATTCCATCTGGTCATTAGGGCTGGTGCTGTTTCAGCCTTTCCAAGGCAGATCCAGAGCAGGTCTTTGATCAGATGGCTTCCTATTGCACTTAATAAATGTCTTCTCTACAGTCTGCCTCTTCCCTTTTCTTTAAAAAAAAAAAATCTAAAATTAAAAAAATCCCCCTCCTCCAACAGCCTCCATCTGCAGCAGATGAAGGACATGTGCCAGAGGCAGCTTCCCAAACAGGAACTTCTGCCAAGTGCCAGTGCCTGCTGCTCCTCCACTGCCATCCCCTCCTGCAACTGCAGCTCCAGAGGCACTACTGGACCCCAGAGCCCTGGTAATGGCTCGTTACTCCAGTTCAAACTGGAGTTAAACCAGTGTCCTCTGAGGAACAGTCTTTGGATCAAGTGGGTGCAGAACTGTGCAAATGTTGTGCATTTATTGAGCAAATGATGCAGACAGACAAACCCATCCCCTTGGGCAGCAGGGAAAGCAGCTGCCTCTCCGAGGGAGGCAGTTCCAGACCAGGGATCCCAGGTGAGGTGGTTGCCCTCTACAGGGGCAGCCCCTTTGCCCCTCCAGAGGGCTTGGTGAGGTAGAAGGTGGCTGTGCCGCTGTATTTCTCCTAGGAGGCAAGAGGAGCAGTCAGTGCTGGGGCTCTGGGGCTGGGCTGGGGATTCCAGAGGCAGGGAGAAAGGCCCTGCTGGTTGGCCCAGCACCTGTCTAACCTTGTCACCACTCCAACAGCAGCCACCTCAGATCTCTTTGGGGACAGCATCCCATCCCAGCCACTGCCTGGGGTCCTGTGGTCCATCCACAACCTGGGGCAGGGAGGATACCAACACACCCCTCAGCTGACCCTTCAGCAGCACCTTAGGGACTCTTGTCCATGATTTTTTCCAACCTCTTTTTGACCCTGATGATGCTTCATGGCCTCTGCAAACTCCCCCACCCCAGCCCTGTGCAGTGCTTCCTCAGCTCTGATCTACTCCTAACTCATCCAGTGGTCCCTGGTTCTTATTGTGGCACCAACAGACTCAGGCCCTTCATGGCCCTGGACGGGCTCCACCAACCCCAAGTGCCTCAGGAGCACCATCTCAACTGCCAGGTCTTTTCAAGCTGTGCCCCTGAGTGTTCCCTCGGGATCTCTAAGTCAGTCTCCTGGCACTTTTCTGCTGCATACCTGGATGTGTTGCTGGGCTCTCTCTGCAGCCCCAGCTTCCAGCAGTGTCACCGTGCAGCCTCCGAAGCCTCCCCCGGTCATCCTGCTGCCATAAACCCCATCGACTTCCAGAGCTGCTGCTACCAGCTCGTCCAGCTCGGGGCAGCTCACTTCATAATCATCCCTGGAGAGAGGAGACCCAGGGTCAGCCCTGTCCTGCACCCTGCCCATAACCACTGCATGAGGAACAGCCGAAACCCGTGCCTTGGTGCAGCCACTGCCGGAGCAAACTGCAGAGGTGCCGGTAAGTGCACGTGTGAGGAAGGCTGCGAGCACCCTCGGTGCATCCTCACCTGAGGGAGTTGTGGCTCTCCACCATCAGCCTCCCGAACATCCTGTAGTCCCTGTCCTGCAGCGCCTGTGCTGCCTGGGCTGTCCGTGCTATCTCGCCGATGACGTGCCTGGCGCGCCGATACACCTCCTCGCCCAGCTGGCTCCTGGCCGCTGTGGAGACACGTGAGTCCCTGCAGCAAAGCCACCCAGGGATGCTGCTGGAAGCAAGCACAGCTACATCCTGCAACCATCCCATGCCAGAGCTCCTCTAGGTGCGGCACGCTCCCATCCTGGCGCAGGCACCCAGCCACCTGTCCCTGGTGCTACCCCGCGGTCTCAGCTGCCGTGAGGAGCTCCTGATGTCCCGAGGAGCTGCCAGAGCCAAGGGAGGGACCGTGCCCACCTTCCAGCTCGGCCATGGTGGCATCCCTCAGGCTGGCCTTGCCGAGTGCCGCCGCTGCCTCCTCGCAGTGCCGCCGGCACGCGGGGTACTCGCTGCCCGTCAGCGTGTGCCGCACGTTGGAGTTGGTGATGAGCACGGCCAGGCTGGCGTCGCTCAGTGGGACAGGGACAGTCTCCAGGGACCTGCAGCGAGAGCTCAGCGTGGGCCATGTGCCCGTCCCCCTGCCCGCTCCAGCCCTCTGTGTGAGGCCACGTGGCAGGTAGCTCCTGAACCACAGAGGCAAAGTCCAGGATTCCGCTCGAGCATTTATCTCTCTTCCCACTTACTAGTTTCATAACAGCCCCTAACGAAAGCGGCAAAGCGACAGGAAAGTAGGAGGAAGGCTGCAGGAAGAGGAATCAAGCCAAGGAGGAATTAAAAGGCAGGAAGCCCCATCCCCATGATGAGATTTTGGGCTGGGTTTGGGGGTTAACCCTTCCCTGCACTCCCACACTTATTTCATGGCCACAGAACCAGCTCATCCCCAGCTGCCCGAGGAGGTGGGCACAGCACTGTGAGCTCAGCGCTCAGCCCTGACCTGCAGTCGATGAGCAGAGCGTGGCCTTCCTTGCCCATCACGGATATGAACTGGTCCATGATCCCACAGGGCATCTCAGCAAACGTGTGCTCTGCTTTCTGGCATGCCAGCGCCTTGGCTACCAAATCACCATCGTCTGTGCCAGAGTGGAGACACACAGGTTAGCAGCTCCAGGACCCTGGCCCTTTGCCCTGGAGCAGGGGGAGCAAACATGGAGGTAAAGGGTTGGTTTCCCATGGAATGGGGTCTTGCAGCTGCAGGTGCTTGCTCCTGCACCACTGCATGCCATCCATGCCAGTGTGGGTCCCCAGATCCAGCTGGATGTGATAATTTAACATTGGTGTCTCAGATCTCTCGATTTTTGGGGACATCAGGGCGGGGAGATGCTTCAAGGGGAACATCCTCTCAACCCCTGGCGTGTCCCAGGGGTGGTCCATGGATTTTAGAGGGCAGCTCAGGCTGGATAAGCCAGAGGAAACACACAGCCAAAGCAGTGCCAGCTCTGGCTGCAGGGGGGAGTTGTGACCTGCTCCATGGTGGCTTTTCCCCAAGGGTTGTGGGATCTTGCTAAGGGTACCCTCCCCATCCCAGCTCCCACCTGCAAACAGAGACACCAGGGGCCAGGACTGGCTGCTGCCTTACCAGGGCAGAGCTGTTGGAGGAAGGTGTAAGTAGCCACCTCCAGAGAGGCCGAGCTGGAGAGGCCCCCACCCAGGGGGATGTCACTGGCGACCACGGCGCTGAACCCTGGCACAGGACCACCTGTGGGAAGAGAAGGGAGGAGGGGGGCTCTGAGCCCCTGCAGGGCTAGGGGTGCCCCACAGCTCACGGGGAACAAGAGCGAGGAGCCCCTGCCCAACATCCCACTTTAAAACACGGGGTGACCCATGGCAGAGTGTGACCCGGGCACCTTCTCCCAAACACAGGGGGCTTTGGAGCTGAGAGCATCTCTGCTGGAGCCTGGTCCCGGCACAGCTGCAGGATTGCACCAGCGCTGGAAGAGCCCCTGGAGCACACCCAAAACTGGGTGCTGAACACCAGCCCCTGTGAGGGGGTCTCTGCCCCACCCCTCAGCCTGGGCCTTACCCCGGTAGTGCTGGATGACGCCCTTGACGTAGTTGGCCCAGCGAGGCCGCCCCGGGCTCAGGGAGCTGCCGTGGTGGGGAGCTGGGAACTGCACCCTGTGGGGCTCGTCCGCCTCCGCCGAGGTGGTGAGGATGGAGATGGTCCCGTCCTGCGTGGGGGATCCCACCAGCACCGTCCCCAGCTGCAGAGCCTGGGGGTGGGGAAGGTGGGCTCAGACCCCTTGACATCCCTTGGAGTATCCCCATGGGTGGCAGGGGGCAGTGGTGGCTGCTTCAACTCACAGCTGGAGCACCCAACACATCTCCCCCTTAACCCTGTCTCCACAAAGTCGCCACTGTATGGTCTGGCTCGGCACAGAATTAAACTTTCTGGCTATTTATTGCCACATGGGAACAGTCTTCCTGCTGAATGTTGTGATGGACCCCCCAGCTCAGTGCTGGGGTGCTGGCTGTTGGGCTCCGGGGGAATGGTAACCACTACAAGCATGGGAGAGGCTTCGGGAAGTTTTCTTGCCTGCCAGGGAATTCAGCTGACCTGCTCCCACGCTCTTCGGCCTCACAATAATTAGCTGTATGTTTGATTTAGGACTGAGCTGAAGGGAGCTCGAAGGAGCTCAGAAAGAGCAGGAAGCTCCTGCTGCTCCGAACCACCTCCACCACCAAAACATCACTCTCCGCGAACAGGAAATTGTTTGACAGGGGTTGCAGAAAAGAGGTGGTTGGGAAGGGGGAAATCACATTCCCCCCGCAGTCAGTGAGGAGCTGCTCTGCGTGCTCCGGATCCTGCTGCGAGCTCCGGACTCGGCGGGGGGATCCCGCAGGGTCCTCGATTGAGGGACACATCCCCGAGGTAGGGGACATCCTGGGCTGGGGCAGGGGACCCCCCGAGGGGCTTTCAGAGGGGACCCGGAAGGGTGACACGGCGGGATCCCAGGGCTGGGGATCCCGGGCCCTTACCATGGGCAGCACGAAGCCGCCGTTGTAGTCGGTGTGCTCGCCGATGAGGTTGACCCGGCCGGGGGCCCACGCCGCCAGCACCGCCGGCCCCCCGAAAGCCGCTTCGTGCGCCCGGCGGGCAGCCGCCAGCAGCGGGGACGGACCGGGACCCACCGGCTCTGCCATGGCCGCACCGCACCGCCCACGGCCGGCCCGCACCGCCCACGAGCGTCCCGCACCTCCCCCGGGTTCCGCACCGCCCCCGGGATCCGCACCGCCCCCGATCCCGCACTGCTCCGGGATCCGCACCGCCCCCGGCATCCGCCCCCCTGAGCCTTGCACCGCCCCCGTGGTCCCGCACCGCCCCTGAGCGCCCCGCACCCTCTCCGAGTTCTCGGAAGGGCTGGTCGTGCGTGGGCAGCCCGATGGGCAAGGCGAGAGCTCGCCCGTGCACACCCCGTGTGTACCTACGGCGGGGCCAGCACCGGGGCTTTTTAACACGTACATCCAAATCCGTATCGCAGAGCCTGTCCCAATATCTGTACAGATAAATACGTGTCTGTTTGCACAGGTACCTCTCCTACATATGCGGCTTTTGCCGGTACAACGTATGTAACATTATATACGTATAGACAGATGTCTGTGCCGCTGTCTGTGTTACACCTGTACACGTCAACGCCTGTGCTGTCGCTGTACGCTCAGGTACACACACCTGTGTGTGAGGTTCCCCCCGCGGGCCGCTCCCGGGGCGGGGCCCGTTACCGGTTCTCGTACAGCCGCCGCCGCGGGACGGCCCGGCCCGGGGGGACGAGCCCATGGCCGGGAAGGAGCCGCTGCTGAGCGCCCTTAAAGGTGAGCGTGGGCCCCCCGGGGCTCTTCCTGCCTCTTCCAGCAGCGCTTTCCAGGGACCGGCCCTTGGCCGCGCACCGGTACCGGTCTGACCGGACGGACGGCGGGGCCAGGCTGGGGCTCCCCGGGCCGGGCAGGGGCTCCCTGGACCGGGGACTTTGAGGAAGTTTACCCGAGTTCCTGCCCGGTGTGGCAGCCGCAGCCGGGGAGGGTCGAGCCCTGCCGGGGTGTTGGGCACCCCCTTCCCACCAGTCACCCCCCCGGGGGCTCTGTAGAGCTGCTCCCGTGGGTGCCCCCCTGCCCTTGCCCCGGCTGGGGCACCCATGGGTGCTGCCTTCTCCCTCACTGAAGGTGCGGTGCTGCAGCTGCGGGAGGCCGGGGGGCCCTGCACGGACACCTCGCCGCACCTCGTGTCCCTGTGCCAGCGGCTGGAGAGCATCCTGCGCAAGGGGCTCCGACGTGAGTGACCCTTCGTGCCCGGGAGGGGGATGGCAGCGCCCCGGGTCCCGCGGCGAGGGGCCTCGCATTCCCTTTCTCCCGCAGAACCGGCTTGGGGCTTCCGGAGACGGGATTACTGGCACTGGCTGAAGCAGCTTCCCACGGGGACCAGCGGCAGGTGAGCGTCCCCGAGCTGGGCTGGGATGGAAACCTGAGCTGTGAGGGCGCCTGTTGTGACATACACATCCCAAAGAGCCCCGGTGCAGGGAGGATGCTCCCAGGCGCTGCCAAAGGCGCTTCCCCTCTCCCCGAACAGGCCGACCCGTCTCTCCATGAGCATCCAGAGAGCCGGGGGCTGTGAGCGGACACGGACGGCTCAGGGCCGCGGGCGGTACTTCCTGCGCTTGGCCCTGCAAGGGAAGGTGCTGGCGGTGGCCGTGAGGGAGCTGGCACAGACCCCCGGACTCCTGGAGGTGCAGCAAGTGGTGCAGTGGAACGGGCCCGCATGGGCAGTGAAATGGCGGAGTAACGGTGTTGTTTCACTGTGTTTCAGTTTTATGATCCAGAGAGCTCCATCCTCGGCAGTGAAGGTCTCCGGGGTAAGATGGTGGCACATCCGAGGTGGGATGTAACCTGTGTTATGGCAGTGCACTGCTGCAGGGGAGGGGGAATAGTCCACTGTGATTTTTCTGGTCCAAATTTAGTGCTGGAATCTACACATGCTGCTGCAGTGATGGAGAAAGAGGTGTAAATATTTAAACAGGGTTTGAATCTATTTCAGGTTGGCTTTAGTGTCATGGGATAGGAAAATGGCTCCTGAAGGGTCTTCCAGTGTTATTCCTTTGTATGTTTGAGCAGAGCCAGTGCTCTGGCTTTAGGGAAGCCTGTCGAGGCTGGGCCTGGGCTGAGGGGTCACACAGGGGTTTTAAATGGCTGTATTGCCTTGGCAGGCTGCAGCACTCCATCCATCTGCAGCCATGCTCCTTGGGGGGGCCAGGCCAGGGTGGAAGCCTTTAATCTTTTGATTATGATAAACAACCTCACGTTAAACCTGTGCATCGATGGTTTATAAATCACCCGCGCTGCTGGTGCTCGAGCAGATTGCAGAACCAGCAGTGTGATTGCAAGGCTCGTGCAGGAGAGCCTGGGCAGCTTTGCTTCGCTTCTAGGGCGAGAAATGGAGAGAGTCACTCGTCAGCAGTGTTTACTGCAGGCCTTGGTCTGAATTTGGGGAAAACAGGTGCCAAGCCACACCTGTGCTGGCAGTGGGAGCCTGGGATGAGCCTCCAGCAGCAGCCTGGGTGCTGTGGTGCCGGGATGCTCTCAAGGCCTCATTCCCAGGGCTCATTAGTTACACGGAAAACGGCTTTATTCTGTCCTCTGCCACATCCCTGTGAGGCTGTGGCTGCCAGAAACCCTGCAGTGACACTGCTTCTCCATCCCCATCCCTCTGCAGAGCCTTTCCTCTCGCTGCTGCTGGTGCTGACAGAGATGGATTTCTCCCTGGACCTGCAGGTGTGGTGATGAATCAGGGGGGTGGTGGCTCCCAATGCAGGGCCCCAGCCCCTTCCTATCCAGGACCGATGGCACTGGCACTCCTTTGTTTGCAGAATTGCAGCTTCTTGGACGAGAGCTGGCTGCTGCCGGTAAGGACTCATCGCTCCCCGGAGCCGTCCTCCCGCCACCTGGCCCTGGCTGAGAAGTCAAATGAGGGAGATAAGGAATGGTTTGGTGGGGAGGGACTGCCACGCACCTGGGCTGAATGGGCTCAGGTTCACCAGCACGAGCAGAGCTGCCTCTGCCACCGGGGTGGGATCCTGCCAGGTGCCCAGGCTGTCACCAGGAGCACATCCCAGCATTCCTGGGAGTAAAACCCAGCAGGAGTAGTACCCAAGCCTAAATTGTCACCGTAAGTGAAGTTTTCCCGTGCTCCCTTTCCTGATTTCTTGCCCGAAAAAATCCCCATTTCCCTGGGCTGACACACATTACGCGTCAGTTGGTTTCTCTCTCGGCTTGCTCAGTGAAACATCAGCGGGTTACAGAGAACAGCGGGGATGCCTTTATGTCTTTTAAAGATGAAGAGCATCCCTCTGCCGCCCTTTTAACCCAAAAGAATCCCCAGGAAGCTCAAGGCGGCTTTGGGGGTGCTCACGGTGTGCTCTGAGCCGTGGTGCTGCTGCAGAGCCTGGGATCCTGCTGGCTTTTGGGCATTTCTAACAGCAAGTGCCCCCGGCCGAGCTGGCCGTGTTTCGGGTCCCTGGCTAATGCGATGTGACAGTAAGTGCTGCTGCAAACAGCAGAGGCTGTGGGGAGGGGCTGCCACGCTCCCCTGGCTGCGTGGGGACATGTGGGGTGAGGGAGGAGGGCTCTTGGCTAAGGGTTCACCTGCTGCTTTGCCCTCCCATCCGTGGAGCAGGTTTGTCCCTTCAGGGTCTGGGTACAGCTGAAAGAGGGCGGGGAAGAGCAGCCACTGATGGTCAGAGCTCAGCCTGGGGCACTGTGGGCCGGCCTCTTCCTGGGCTCCCAAAGCCCTGGTTTGGTATCAGTGCCAGAAATTATCCAGGGCATGGAGTCCCAGTTCTCCCCCTTGTCCTGGTCATGTTCCTTGGATGTCCCATGGCCATTGCCAAGGCCACTGTCACTGGACACTCTCTTCCAGGTGTGCAGCACTTACGAGACCGTCCCATGCCGAGCGCTGGGGATGGTGCTCAGGTAGGAGCCCTTGATCCTCCTCTCCAATCTCCAGAGGGATCTGGTCATCACAGCACTCAAACTCCCCCAAAAAGGGAGATAACCAGCCTGTGAGGGTCTCACTGGTATCTGCTGTCCAGGAGGTGGCTTTTTCCTGCTTCTTTGCACGGGTGAAATGTTGTGGATGGCACAAAAGGGCTGGGGGAGCCAGGCAGGGTCCCCGGGCTTGAGCCAGGGCTTGGTCACACCCCCAGGTATGTGGAGGGCCGAGTCTTTGTCACCGAGGTGCTCCCTGAGAGCCAGGCGGAGGTGGACGAGGTGGTGCTGGCCGGCGACATCCTGGACGAGATCAACGGCTGCTCGCTGAGATTCGCCCACAGCGGGCAGGTGGGTGGGCAGGGAGGGCCAGGATAGCTCCCCTTCCTCTGCCACCCATCCTACCCTTTCCTTCCCCTCTCTCCCTCCAGGCTGGGGACATCCTGCAGAAGCTGAAGGGGCAGCCGCTCGTCTTCCGCCTGCTCCGGTGGCGGTGGCACGACGGGCAGGTCTATGAGCCACTGCTGCCCTACCTGAAGGTCCTGAAGGAGAAGGAGCCCCGCTTCCAGCTCCAGCACGGCCCCAGGCACAGGGGCAAGGGGGAGCCACGGCAGCTGCGAGGGGGCAGGTGGGTCTGGTGCCAGGGGGAGCCCCCGGGCTGGGCTGGGGGTCCTGCCAGCGGGGTATCCTTGTGCCCACACTATCCCTGATCTCTGCTCAAGGCTGTGGGGCCAGCTGCCCCTGTGGTCTTGGGGTGGTGAGGGGCTGGGAGCATCTTCCCCTGCAGAGAACAGCAGGAGGGATGTGTGGTGTTCCTCATCTGAGCCCTGTTTTCCCCAGGCTGCTCTACAACCTGCAGTACCTGGGCCAGACCAGCATTGGGACGGTGAGGCTGTGGGGCACAGAGAGCTGCCATGGGGTGAATCATCTCTTCTGGGGTTTTTTTCATGAGCCCATGGGTTATTCCCTCCTTCCCATTCCATCCCAGTATGGTGGCAAAGAGGTGCTGGAGCAGGCCATCCCTGCAGTGCTGGAGGGACACTTGGCAGTGCAGGTGAGTAATGGGGCTGGAGACATCCTGGGAAGGGCTCTGTGAGAGAATGCAGGGAAAAAGGGTCTCTGCCATGGATATTTTTTTCCTGCCAGCTCCAGGTTTGCTTGGCCTGGCTGAATATTTGCCTCCCTGCCACCCTTGTGGGTTTTTTGCGGGTCAGAAGCATCTCTGCAGCCAGAATAGGAAAGGGCATAAAGGAAAAAAACATACAAGCACCTGCAGGAAAGCACTTGGGAAACTGGGGGGAGGCTGAGCCTGGTTACAGGGGTGCTTTAGGGCTCAGTTCACTTTGTTGGGGCCTTTTGGTGGGTTATCTGTGAGAAGATGGAAGTGTGAGAGCACTGGGTGGTAAAAAAAGGCAGCGCAGGGAAAACATCTTGAAATAGCTGAGCTGGACTGTGCTTTATCACCTCTGGGTTTGGATAATCTCTGTGGGTGAGCGTCTTATTAAAAACAGAGCTCAGGGCTGTGCCCATCGGGGCTTCTTCCCTCTCACCCCCCCTTCAGGAGGTTTTATTGGATGTGAAGGAAGCAGAAATCCTGGTGCAGGAGAAAGTGTCTTCCAAGGTAAGCAGGTGACACCCAAGGCCTGTGTGAGTCCCAAGGATGCCGAAGTGGCAGTGTGGGGTGCTGGGGCCAGTTTAAACCAGGAATGGGGCTGGCAGGGACTGCCCCCAGCCCCCAGCCCCGTCCCCCTGCTGTCCCCTGCGCAGCTCCTGTGCCGCCATCCCTACCCCACCATCTCCTGCGTGGGATGCTGCCCGTGGAGCAGCAGGATATTCGCCTTCTGCGTGGCGTGAGTGCTGCCTGTGGGCCCTGGGAGGGGGATTCGGAGGGATGTGGGTTCTGGAAACCGAACAAGGGGGGTGCGAAGCGGCCGCGGGGTCCCTGGTGCGGCTGCAGGGCCGGGCTGGGCTCGGGGCCGCGCGCTCTGCCGGATAATGGACGTGTTTCCATTTTTAGCTCTTCCCCGGAGAGCCCTGACGGGAGCACGTTCGACTGCCTGGTGTTTGCATCGAGTTCTGAGCAAGAATGCGAGGAAATCGTCGGGAGAATTGGTAAGGGATGGTTTGTGCCTTCAGATACCGTCACAGCGAGACCGTGGAATACCAGGAATTGCTGGTTTCAGTCCACCACATGCAGGATCTGACTTAATTCTTCTTGCTGAGGTTACCAAGATGAGGAGATATTCTGATAGTCGGGGTTTTTTTGTTTGTTTTTTTTTTTAAAGGACTGCTAGACAATGATTTTATTTTAAGAAACAGCTTCTAGGCATACCCAGATGGTTCATTGTTTCCACCAAGAACTTGGATGAAATATTGTTTTCGAGGGATGTTATTTTAAACATACTTTTCCTGCAGGAGCCCAGGCTGCTACTGCAGTTCAGCACCAAACCAAGCATTCATAAATCCCGTCGCTTGGCATTTTTTTTTCCTTTGGCCTAAATGCAAGCTGCGTGGTGCTTCCTGAATTCCATGGGCTACTGAGGATCCTCAGATTTCCTGTGGGGAAATAGTCCGTGGGGATATCCCTGCCAGCTGTCCCCTCACCACACTGTGCCCCCAAAGACCTGCCCAGGTGTTTGACCTGAGATCACTGAGCCTCACCTAAAGTTTGAGCTGGTGCTTAACTTTGATTCAAAGCAGTTAAGTTTACAATTTTGATGCAAAGGAACCTTTTTCCTTACAGGTTTAGCAATTAAGAAAATGCTTGTTTAAAACCTTATCTTGGATCATTTTAGAACTGGTTTTTAGTGGGTTAATGCTGTTAACCAGGGCCTGGGTTTGCTTGGAGCGGTGCAGGACAGGGAGGTGAGGAGGAAGTTGTGTAGGAGTGTGGGGTGAGGATTGTCTGTTCCTCCAGCTGCAGGATTTAAGCACACGGAGTGGTTTGTCTGAGGAGGGAGAATCTCGTGACGAGGCACCGGTGTCGCAGCCTCCCCAAGCAGCACATGAGGGATGCAGGCCCCGACTCCCAGAGCGGGATTTGGGATGGTTTTCACACTGGTGTCACGCCATCCTGGTGGGACAGTCACGGATGGCCACCGCTGGCTTAACAGCAGATACCGGTAGGAACTGCTGCAGCTCTTCCCTCTGAAGTGCCCCTGCTGCCACAGCACTTTAACTTCATTGGAATAAATCAAGCCAAGCTGGCTCAACTGCTTCCCTGTGCTGCTGTTCTGTGACAACCTCCAGCCCTACTCGTGCAGCCTGTTCTGGGAGGGCCTCGCCATCCAATGTAAGTGTTAATTAATTACCTGGCATTCAGGTGCAGTCTGAGCACTTTCCTCCACCACAGCCCAACCAGGTCCAGCTGCTGAGGAACCTGCCTGAACCCAGCCCCAAGGGAGGGTTTGAGTATAATCCCGTCTCATCCAGAAATCTGGAAATGAGACTCTGAGAGCGCCCACCCCTTTGCTCAGCAGCCCATCTGCTCCCAGGGTGTATAATTAGCTGTTCCCCTCACACACCATCCCACTGTGATTATCCGGGACTGTCACGCAGCCCAATCCCACAGGAACTCTCACACCCCCCACCCTCAGCACCAACAGCACTTGGGAACAGGCAGGTGGTTTCGCTTCAACTCCAAAATAAACTTCCCTGCAGGCACCAGAAAGGAGGGAAAGCATTTTAGTGCTGGAGTTGGGTTCTGATAAGCTTTAAAGGAGACTCCCCCCCAAAAAAGCTGCTGTCAGCCTAGGCCAGTCCTCCTGGAGCCTAGAGCCGCTTTCACTGGCCCACTTAATGACTCCATGTACGGAAAAAATTCCAAAATCCTCCAAAATTTCTCCATTCTGTTGCCAGACGAGGTTAACTTGCCCCAGCAGCAGTCCAGGATTACAGGGATCTACTGCTGACCTCAGGAGCCAAGAGGAAGCTTCTTCCAGCCCATTCAAAGCAAATGACAGAAAGACTCCTCACATGTGAATGTAAAACATTTAATTTAAAAATGTTGACACTACAATATATAAAATAGCTATTATAAATGCACATAGTGTATTCTATAGCTGCCAGGTTTACTTTTTTTTTTTAGGAAACTGTAAGTTACACTGTGGTTAAGACTTGTAGTTTCACCCTCTGAAGGAAGTCCACATTTGATCACAGTGATGCATGGTCAGACTAACAGCCCCAATTGTTAAACACTTGGATCAAGTCATAACCAGTTTTATTGCAAAAGGACCCTGTACACATTTATATCAATTCTAGTACCTTACAAGTTTAGCTACCCAACAAGTCATTAACATACAGAAACATGCATGAGAAGCAAGAAAGAACACCCATCCCTTCTGCATATTAGCAACTTGTCACTCCCGAGCCCGAGGCTCAACATCACTGAGGTTTATGTGAACAGTCACTTTTAGCATTCATCCTGAGTGAAAGATGGAATGACTTAAGTACAAATGCAACATATTATAAACAATTTCTTACAAAAAAAGTCACAAATTAAAACCAAAGTATTTTACAGAATTAACTACAAAACACCATAAAAACAGCCTTCACTTAAGCTCTCTCTCCCCGTATCCTGCGAGCCAACTGGATATCTTTGGGCATGATGGTGACTCTCTTGGCATGGATGGCACACAGGTTTGTGTCTTCAAACAGACCCACCAGATACGCCTCGCTGGCCTCCTGTTTTAAGAGCACAAGAAGAAATGTCGTTAGAACCCCTCAGCGCAGCTCCCCCAGCGCCGCGGCCCGGCCGGCCCTCAGCAGTACCTGCAGCGCACCGATGGCTGCACTCTGGAACCTCAAGTCCGTTTTGAAATCCTGGGCGATTTCCCTGACCAGCCGTTGGAAGGGCAGCTTGCGGATCAGCAGCTCCGTGGATTTCTGGTAGCGACGAATCTCACGGAGCGCGACAGTGCCCGGCCTGGATGGAGAAGGAGGGGGGGGCGGGTGAGGCGGGGCCGGGGCTGCGGCAGCCGGGGCCGAGCCGCGAGCCTTACCTGTAGCGGTGAGGCTTCTTGACGCCGCCGGTAGAGGGGGCGCTTTTCCGGGCCGCCTTCGTGGCCAGCTGCTTGCGCGGCGCCTTCCCCCCGGTGGACTTGCGGGCGGTCTGCTTTGTACGGGCCATTTTTCCTCACTTACCTACGGGAGACACGTAACGCGTGACACGGGGCCCGGCTGTCCCCATCCGCCCTTCCCCCGCCCCGAGGCCCGGCGACACAGCGGCCAATCCCCTCGAGCTCCAGATGCCGGCGAGCTGCCCCCCTTCCCCCGCGGCGGGCAGGCGGCCAGCGGCCTCCCCCGGGGACGGGAAGGAGGAGTCACGGTTACCCCGCCGCCCCCGCCTCGCGGCCCGGCCGCTCCCCTCCCCGGGGGGAAGCGCAACTGACTCACGGCCGCCTCCTCCTTCCTCCCGGGGCCGCCCCGAGAGAGCGGAGGGGGGTGGGGGGGGAGCGGGTGGGGGGATGGGAACCGGCCGTGACTCAGGGCACGTAGGCAAGGCCCGCTCCGCCGGCCTCGCTCCGGGAGGAACGAAGGCCGCGGAAGCGCCGCAGCACCGCCGCCCGCCTCGGTGACGCGCCCGCCGCCCGATACTCACCGCTGGGAGGCGAAGGAAGCGCCGGTGTCCGGTAGCGCTGCGCGCCGAAGCCGCCGGTGCCGCTGGGCTCGACCCGCTCCGCAGCCGCCGCGACGCTCACTGCGCCCTCCCCGCCGCGGGGACGCGTATTTTATACGGGGGGCGCGCGCGCGGCGTGGTGGCGTCACAATGCCCGGGAGCAACGCGCCGCGCCATTGGCCGGGACCCCCGCCGGCGCCGCCGCGTCACCGCACACAAAGGCCGTGCTCCGGTTCCCCGGCGCTGATTGGGCGCGCCGCGGGGCGCTGATTGGTTGTTAAAGTAGGCGTCCGATTGGGTGTTGCGAGGGGGGAAGGAGCCAATCGGCGGCGGGCGGGCGCTCTGCGCGCTGATTGGTCCAAACGGGGCAGGGTTTGGATCCTACCCTTTGTTGCGAAGCTCCACAATGGGAAGTCAATTGGAGCGGGCCGAGCGGGGCCGCGCCGCGGGATCCTCCGCGCAACCCCGGCCGGCCCGGGCCGGCCCCGCCGCCAGCCGCTCTCCCCGTGCCCGGACCTGCGGAGCCGCCCGGCGGGGGCTGCGAGTGGCCGCGGGGTCCCCCCCGCCTCCGCCCGCGCTCCCCCGGGAGCCGCCGGTGGCGCGGCCGCTCGACCCCCGCGCTCGGGGGTGTCGGGGGGAAGCCCCCGGCAGGGGAGGAGGAGGAGGGTCTGGCGGCGCCTCCGGGGTTTCTAGCCCGGGCTTGTCATTCCAGCGGCCAGGGAAGGGTTGTCACGGGACTTGGGTTCAGCGCTCCTGGGCTGTGACCCCCACCACCCCCCATCAAGAGTCATGGCCTGACCCCGGCCCTGGGAAGGGAACGTTCGGGGTTTGGAGTTTGGGCCTCTCTGAACCTCAGTTCCCTGAATCCCACCGACTCTGGGGGTCGCCCCCATCCCTAATGCAAATCACAAAGTTTCCTTGCTAGTAGAAAACCCCAACCCACGTTCCCTGTTGGTACCATCTTAGCATTTATCTCCCTAAGATAAATAGCAATTCAATGGGGGAATTGTCTTTTGGGGCAAATTGCTGCTTTAAGTTACACCTTGATTTATATCACTATTTTTCTGTGTTTGTAGAGGCTCTGGAGGCAGTCCCTGCCCCCCATGGGAAGGGTTCCAGGATCAGGAAGAACAGGTCCCAAATGCCCCGCAGTTGTAGCACGTAGAGAACATCCAGGGAACACAAACAGGCGCTCCCAGAGGCATCTGTGAGTTTCCCGAACTGGAGCACAGCTGGAATCACCCAGGTTTTGCATCCTCAGGCTCTGGGGTCAGCGCTGGCATGGTGGGCAGGGTTGGGATTGCTGGGAAAACGTGTTGGGAATGTGTTGGGAATGCTCCTCCACCCACAGGCAAACACTCCAATATGATGCGACAGGACCACCACGTGAGCCCAGGCTGTCGTCTCCTCCTGTCCTCGTTTTCCAGGTTAATTTTCTCCCTCGCAAAGGGAAAAGGTTAATTATTTATCGAGACGCAAAAAGCCGCGTACCCACGGCACGGCTTGGGAGGCTGTGGGTGAACACTCCCCGCGTTGGTTTGGAAAATGAAAAGTGGGGGATTTCCCTTTCATCTGGGGTTGTTTCACGCTTAGGAAGAAGAAATTTAGGAACCGGTTCTGACGGTGACAGCTTTCAGTACTTTTAATTTGTTCCTTTTAAGAGCTCCCTGCACTGTCACTAATGCCAGGAGGCCAGGTGGAATGTTTGTTACTCCTTACACGTTTCCTTTTCCATGTTTTCAGAGCACTGGCTGCTTAAGCTTCTCATTTTGGAGATATTTTAGATTTTTTTTTTTGCTCTCCTAAAGCCTGGACGAAATCCATGTCCCCTCTGGGATGGAACAGGCTGAGGGACAGGTGTGAACAGCAAAGCTGAGGAGGGCAAACCAGCACGTCCCGACTGTGAAACAAGGGAGAACCGGGAGAGGAAATGGTTGTCAGCACCAGATTTTAGAGCAAACATCAGCTAGGAGGGATTGGGAGCCCATGGTTCCCAAATCCCTGTGGACAAAGTGCAGGCTGGTGGTGTTTTCAGCGTGATTCCTGGATAACTGAAGGGTTCTCCTGCAGGTTCGTGGCTGACAGTGATTCTGGGTCGAGTGTGTGTGGAGATATTCACAGATATTGACTGTTAAAAAGTCCTGCTTGGCCAGGAGCTGTGTCATCACAGTGCTCCAGCCTCCCGTGCAGGGTGGTTGGATGAATAACAAGGTACTGATATCCTGCGACTTAATTCCTGCAAATGCCTGGGAATGAGCTACTAAACCACCCTGCACTAAAGCCTGCCCGCAGCAGATACTGAATCAGAGTAAATAAGAATTAAAAAAGGCGATTTCCCTCCCCAAACAGCCACAGAGGCCTCAAAGTTTATTATTAACGTGCCTACCCCGCGTGTGCTGGCACAAAATAAAGGTGTTTGCCCGATAAATCCCGTGTGCCCTTTCCCACAGCGCTGGAGATCCCGGTGCCAGAAGCGGTCCTGTGTGGAGCCCAAGAGATCAAAGTCCTATTAAAAGAAACCCGTATCATTTCCTCTCCTGGGGGAGAAGTTAATTGGCGGGGGGAAGCGCTGCTCCGCATGGGAATTTCGGCCGATTCCTCGGACACGGCTCCTTCGGGTGGGGTTTTTTATCCCCAGGGGGGCGCAGGGTGATCTGCCATGACCCAGCTGCCAGGTGACACTGGTGTCACCTGCTCCGAGGTAGGTTCTTGCTGGGCCTTCCTCCTCCTCCTCCTCCTCCTCGCAGCGCTGTTCCCAGGCGCTTCCTGCGCGGCGTTGTCCCGTGGGTGGGGAGGGCCGTGGAGGAGCGAGGAGAGGCTGCCAGCACTAAAATAACCCTCCCCGCGTCCACGCTCGGCCCCTGAGGCAGAGGAAAAGGAGGGGGGGAGGAAGGAAGTGAGGCCGCCGGCCACAAATAACTCCCGATCCACCCCCTCCCCGGCCCCCCGGCCGTGCCTCCCCCGCTGCCTGCAGGGGCCGGGCCGGGCGGGCTGGGCCCCCCGCGGGGCTCGGCGCCGTCCCGGGGGCTGGGTGTCCCCCCAGGGCTCGCTGCAGCCCCCGGGGGTCGGTGCCGTCCCAGGATTTCGGGTCCCGGTGCCCCCCCGGTCCGATCCCGCCCCACCGCCGGGGGGCGCCCCAGCGCTCCGCCCCCGCCTCCCCGCCCCGCCTCGCACTACAGATCCCGGCTCGCCCCGCGCGGCAGGAAGCGCGGGGGCCGCTCCGCCGCGGGGCGCCTCTGGGAGTTGTGGTCCCGCCGGCCGGAAGCCGCCGGCCCGACGCGCCCCGCGCCGGCGGGCGGCGCGCGCGCGGCGGGACTACAAGTCCCACCCCGCCCCGCGCGCCCCGGCCGGGGCGGCAATGGCGGCGGCGGCGCCTGCGCGCGGCGCCCTCCGTGCGGACCGCGCAGAGTGAATAATAAAGGTCTCCTCGGCGGCGGCGGCGGCGGAAGGCGGCGAGAGGGGCGGGGGAGGCGATGTCCAAGGGCCCGTGGCGGGCGGCCCCGCCGCGGCCGGGCCGGCGAGCGCCGCCAGCGCGCTGCAGGCGCAGCCCGAGAAGCCGCAGCACTACACGTACGTAGAGCCGGGAGCTGCCCCGCCGCCGCCCGCGCGCCAACACGCGCCTGACGTCAGCGTGCGGCGCGCGCGGGGCGCGCGCGAGGGGCGCGCGGGGCACCGGCTGGAACCGGCCACGGCCGGCGCGGGCCGGGGAGGGGAGGAGGGGGTGTGAGGGGAGGACGGGGAGGGAGGGAGGGAGGGAGGGGCGGGGGATGAGCGACAACACCCCCCCCCCCACCGCCGCCGCCGTCCTCACACACCTCCCCCGTGATGCACCGGGGCGGCCGCGCCTCTCCCGGGGGGCGAGGGGACCCCCCGGCGACACCTCCTGTGCGGGGCTGGAGCTCCGTCCCCGGGGCTGGGAGGAGGGCGCCGGACCCTCAGCTGTCACCCTCGCCGTGGAGGTGATGGGACCCCTGGAGGCTCGGGTGACACCCCTGTGCGGGGGTGGGGATCCTTCCTCCCGGTGCGAGAGGACCCCCCAGACCCTCGGCTGTCACCTCTGTCCGGGGTGGGGGTCCCTCTTCCCGGTGTGAGAGCACCCCTGGACTCTCAGCTGTCACCCCCAGACCCCTGAGTGACACCCCCATCTGGGGTGGGGGTCCCTCCGCTGGGCTGTGGGGGGACCCTCGGCTGTCACCCCCAGCCCCTCGGGTGTCACTCCCACACCCTTGGCTCTCACCGCCTCCCCAGGTGGGGTCCTTCCCCTCCGTGCCCCCTCGTATGGTGCTGGGGTTTGGGGTCCTGGTGAGCTGTCACCAGGGCTGTCACCTCCGTCCTCCCCCCCCTGAGGGGTCCCGGGGGCTCCTGTGGAGTGAGGTGTGAGGTGACTCGGAGGTCCCTGGTGGTCGGTGGGTGAGGGCTGGATCGGGTCCCTCTCAGGGCAGGTGTCTTTGGGAATTGCACACGTGAGGAATATCCCCACTGGAAGTGTTACACTGAAATCACAAGGATTGTTTGCCCCATTCCCACCTCTCCTTGCACTGCTCAGGTGTGATCCCGCTGTGTGTGTGTCACCTCCATCCCTGGGGATATTCCCTCAGTGAAGGCTTATTGCTGGAATGTGTCTTCCCTAACCAAAGAACAGCATTTCATTGTCTTGTCCCGAGGGTGTACAACCCCTCGGGGCTGTGTGGAGATGGCCAGTGTGTGATAAGTTGTTTGGGGTGGAAGTTGTGGTGATGATATTCCCTTCTCCTTGTGCAGTAGGGATAATGGGGCGGATTGGGAGCGACAGTGTCTTTGTGACATGGGCTGGCGATGGATGTGTGTGGATGGAAATAGGTCAGGTGTTCCCTGCCCTTAAAAGAAGAAAAGTTTGGGACTGTTCCTTGTGAACAAAATAAGTGTGTTGAGCTGTTTGCTGTTATCATTTTAGGGTGTTGTCCAGAAATTGTCCTGCAAATACCCGTATCTCTGGCTTGTGTCGATGCCCCCACCCAAAGTGAGACGTGTATTTTGTTAGCTTTTAATTCCCATTTTCACAAAGTTGGTGATGGACTTCTTCCCTGCGTCCAGGCTGGGATATATGGGATAAAAAGGGCTTCCATAAATTTGTAGACACTGATCCCTGCAACCTGTGTGCTGGGATGACAGGCTGTTTGCCATCCCTTTCCTTCAGGTCGTTTGGAATTCCAGGTTATGTCAGAATGAGGGCTCCTGGGTTTTATCTCTGTTGTGAAGATCCTGTTGTGATCTTCAGGGAGATGGCAAGTCACAGCCTCGTAGATTATGTTATCTCTGGTGGGATCTGCGAGTTTGACAGCTTTATAGGAGAAATGGGCATGGAGGAGCCTGCTGGGAATGTTGCTGTGGAGGTAAAAGAGGGAACAGGAGCTGCCTGTGGAGGTGGAGTGACACCAGTGATGGAGAAAGAATCGATCAAAAGTGAGAGGAAAAACAGGGAGATGAGTTAGAGAGTGTAAGCACGCTGGGTGCAGGAAGATGAGGGTGATCACCTGGCTGAGCATGACCACGGAAACAAGGATATCGAGGATTAGGAAAAACAGAGGAAGAAAGAGTTCTAGAAAGGGGAGGAGACTGGGACAGAGGAGGGAAATGGGACAGCGTGCAGCAAAGCTGGTGGTGCAATTAGCTTATTTCCAGGGGGCAAAACTTGTGTTTTTCAGATGGATGCTAAAAATACTTCAGTGGAAACAGTTGCAGAGGAGCTGAATAACCATAAGTGAAGGATGGGTTTGGGGCTGCCGAGTGCTGACAGCGGGATGTGAGCCATCCTTTGGAAGCCTTGGATTTGTGCACTGGGTCACATCATACTGTAAACCTCCCTCTGATAACATATGGGAACTTATTTGGTGGTCGTTCATGTGAACAAGTTGTATGTTGTCAAAATGTAAATATTTTCTTCCCCTTTTTTTTTTTTTTCCCCCTTCCTTAAATACAGTTTGTTTCCATAAAATGACATGAAGGTTACAAGTTGTAAACTCGAGTAAGCTTAATTATCTGCATACTTTGCTGTTCCCTGGGGACAGGCAATCTGGTGCTGGGGATCTCTCGGAAAGTTTTCGGTTGTATACTTGAGGAAATGTTCCAATTTCTCTATTAGTGTCGATTTCTAAACTCTTGGTGTTACTTGCATGAGATTTGAGTTACTTTGGACCGCGGTTCTTCTTCAGGGAGCCTTTGTGTTTGTTTGGATGTGCAGCAAAGGGAAATGTGGGGTGAAAACAGAGCTGGTGATGCTCTCTCACACCTTTGGCACTGTTTGTTAGCAGAAGAAGAGCCTGAACTTCCATGATTTGTGCCCTTTGGTGACAGTTGTAGCGTGCAACTGGATACTCCTGGAGTATCCAGGCAAGTCCCTGGTATATGCCAAACTTTGCTATTTAATTATGGATGGCATGTTTCTCATCTGGGGATCTGGTATTCCATGTGGAGAACCCGAGTGAGTGATGAAACACCCCAGGGCTGCTGTTGTGTTCTCTCTGGGTTGCTGGATTAGGCGTCTGTTTGCAGGGCTGCTGCTTGTGATCCCGCAGCTCCCGGGGCAGGATGAGGCCAGCGCCTTCCTGGGAACAGCAGGGTGAGACAGGCTCGTTCCTGGGCTACCTGGAGGCTTTGATGTGCTCTGCCAGGCTCGGAGGGCGGTGAGAAGTGGATTTGGTTTGGGTAGGCTCTGTCAAACCTCAGCTGAGGGTTGGCTCTACACCGTTTTCCCGGCTCTGACTGGCACGTTATTTCTGCAGGTATCTCTCGTCTTTAATGTGTGTCTACAAATGTGGGTGAGAGGCTGAGTTCAAAGAAACTGAAAGCAAGTGATCAGTCACTGGAGTTGTAGATACGGGGTGCTCCGGTGTAGTTTTGTTTTGGTACAGTCTGTCCATTCTTCGCTGCCGCCTCGGTCGGTTTCAGTCAGACTGGATGCCTTAATTGTGAATTGTAAAGATTGTTTCCACTGCTTGGGTGTTTATTGATCTGGCAGAATTTAGATAAGTGAAAGTGGAGCAGTCCTTTGTTCACTGTGCATTCACCTGAAAGTCAGACAGTTTAATAACTCTGCAGGAAAGCAAACGTTCGGGTGGAGATAAATTAACCCATTTAATAAAAAAAACAAAGACTCCCTTCAGTCGAGTCCCTTCAGAGCACACACGCTCAGCAGCGGGGCTGAAAATATCCTGATTTAGGTGATAAACGTTGAGACACAGATTTATTGGGCACAACCCAGGTCATTCCTACTCAGGACAGTTCTCCTGAGTGTCTTAAATACGAGCAGCCATCCTGGAAGTGAACTTTGGGATTCCACATCACCACCAGCTGTACCCTCACTTGGGTTCTGGATGAGATGCCTGAGAGCACATCCTGTCCTCCTTGGCACTGCAGCAAGATAAGCTTTGTGATTGTGCCTTTGTGGCATAAAAGGCGAAAAACTTGTCTTTCCTTTTGCACGAGGGGAGGGATTGTGGGAAATTCCTGAAGGATTAGTATCCTGTAAGTCGTGCTGGAGCTGCATCCACATGGCTGGTCGGGCTGTCATGCAGTGACTGCTGGCTTGTGCTCACCCAAGCTTTGTCTTGCAGCTATTTCAGTGGCATTTAGAGGTGCAAGGACCAGAGCACTCGAGTGAAGGATGTTGTAAATGGGGATGAAAATCGGGCTGCTGCGATGTTTTGGTTATAGCTGAAACCAAAGACGCTCTTATGTCTGTGTCGTGCCTTGCCCGGCGCTTTCTGAGCCTTAAACAGGAACTCAGGTTAGGGCAGTGATGGAAATAAGAGTGAAGAAGAAATAAAAATAACCAGATCATAGGTGTGCTTGGATTCCAGTGAAGAGCTTGCCCTCACAGTCTTATTTATCTCAAAACCTTACGTTTAAATTCTTACTCCAAACCAACGGCACACGAAAACACCTCAGAGCGTTTGTAGCAGCCCAGAGTAATCCTCACCTTCTTAGCAGTGGTCAGTGTCTCACCACTGGCAGGGCAAATGCAGGGTGTCTGATCTCAAGTGTGCAGACTGAGTGTCTGTGAAAGAAAACCGAAAACCAGATGTGTAGCTAACAAGTTCTCAGAGTTACTGCTCGCTCTTCCAGGGCCTGTAGCGTTTGTGTGCACAGCCTGTGCAGAATTGGGTGGTCCTCACAACCTCGTGGATGGGTTGAGGCTTTTAGAATTGTTTTTAGAAACCTTTTGTGCTCTTTTCAAACCGCCAGAACTCTTAAAATAACAAACTGTTGCCCTAATTCTGCTTCGGTTTTGCTGGTGATAACCCTTAGATCAATAAGCTGATGTGGACTTATGCAAAAATAGAAACTAGTCCATTTGTTTAAATTTAAAAACCAAACAACAAAACAAAACCAAACATGAAACAAAACAAAAAAACCCAAACCAAAAAGAAACCTGTCTGCTTTTAGGTTTCAGATCTGGTAATGCCTTTAGGAGAAAACACAGAATATATATAATATATTATCATTGTATTATGTATAATATAAGGTAATACCTTTAGGAAAGCACAGAATAAGTCAATACTTCTAAACCTGAGGCTTACCAGTGTCTACTA